ACGAAGGCATAATCTCTGCTGCTAACCACCCGTACCAACTCCCGTTCAAACTTAATGCTCTTCTCCATCACAACTATGGCACGACTCCATCACCATCACCGGCCGATTCTTGGCTCGCTCTAAAGTCCCATGATGTTTTAAGGGACAAGTTCACCAGCATCGACTTCACCATTTGTAAATCTCTGTCGGCCTGTCATGGTCCCCACCCCCCCCTCCCCCCCCCGTGGTCTTTCTTCACGAGAACATTGGAATTAAAACATCAATGGTTATTCGATGTCCAATGTGTATTTAAATTCACCTTTTACAAGACAGAGCAATGCAAATATTCAAAGGCAATAATTATTATCAAAGAGAATGATGCATAGTAATCAATTTACACTAAGTTGAGTTACTTTACAAAGATTTGTTGTAAAAAAAGGTTATTCGTAATTTTCTAAGAAAAATTATAATTTCACAAGGCTGTGGTTTAACGGTCGATGCTCAACCACAATCTTGAGTGTAATTACTTATAATTCTCGCAAAGGCACCATGTTGCGTGTTGCATGCAACTGATGTCTGCTTTCCAGAATACAATCTATAACTTGAAACCTAAGTGCACAACAATTGATACGGGGAACGTGACACCTACTAGGCAAAACTCGCTATTGAAGCAGTCCCAACCGAGTCGGAACACGTGCACCGGGCAGGGATGTCTCTCCCTCCACTTGCCTCTCGGGGTGCCGCCATTGGTCCACGTCAAGATATCATCAGATGGCCCGCAACGATTTTGCATAGACTTCCGACGACTCGATATTTAGGGGCCGTCCATAAATGACGTCACGCACCTAGGGGGGGGAGGTTGGGGGTCAGACATTTGTGACGATGTGTGTCGAGGGGGAGGGGTGTTTGAGAAATGTCACGTCACATTAAAATGCGCAACTTTAAATAAATATAGACAACACGTTCTACTTAATTAAATAGACTTTTAAATAAATGTTTTCTCCTACAACATCAGAGTGCAGCGCCACATTAAATACGCACTACAATGACACGAAAGCTTTAAATCGAAATGTAATGACAATAGTTTAAAGCGATTTTAAGTATGTTAAACAATTTTTGGAGGGGGGGGGGGCAGAGCTTTGTGACGTCATATTTGAGGGGGAGGTCTGACTTTTTGTGACGCCGTGTGACGAGGGGGGGGGGGTCAAAAATCGTCCAAAATCGCGTGACGTCATTTTTGGACGGCCCCTATAAAGGTGACGTTGGCTAATGCTTACCCCTTGCCGCAAATTGACAACTTAAGACGTCACTGGCAGGGGCAAAAATATTCAGTACCTCGGATCCCTCGTCTGGATGTTTTATGATTCGTATCGATGCAGAGTCCCGACCAAAGAGGGCATTTAGAACAGCCCAGGGACTGTTTCAATTGAATTGTTTGCCTATGGGGTTAATGATGGCTCCCGGTACATTTCAAAGGTTGATGGATTTAATGTCTGCAGGCCTCTAGTGGGATGCATGCCTCATATATCTGGACGATGTGATGGCGTTTGGTTGCTCATTCGAGGAGCACCTAAACCAGTTGCGTCAGATATTTAGTAGGCGACCAAGTTAAAGCTAAAACTCTTAAAAGTTCATCTGTTTCAATCGTACGATAGTTGGGCCACATCGTCAGTGTGACGGGGGTCATTACTGACCCTGCAATGACAGCCAGTGTAAGGCAGTGGCTCGTGCCAATGTTAGTGTTGGCCGTGCGCAGATTCCTCGATTTTTTGCCCTATCGGCGATTTTTACTCCAGCTTGCCACCGTAGCAAATCCGCTGCACGCGCTTACAAGTAAGAACCAGAGGTTTTCGTGGGGGTGCATAGGAGGAAGATGCTGTCCAGCAGCTGCGCATGTGCCCGATTGAGGCACCCCTTAAACTTACCAAGATTACTTGTTACCCTTCATTCTAGACACTGATGCTAGTGATGTTCGGGACTTCGTCGGCGCAGGTGCAAAACGGGAGGGAGATGGTCATAGCGTACGGTATTCACGTTTTCTTTCCCATCGAGCAAAAATACTGTGTTAGAGTTGCTCTCACTTGTGCACTTTGTGCACCAGTTCTGCCTGTAGCTGTATGCCTGGAAATTCATAGTACATAATGAACACACGACTTTACACTACTCTCTTCGAATTGACCAGCCATCTGGCCAGATGTTGAGATGGATCGAGCACCTGCAGGAATACAAATTTGATGTCGTTCGTCATAAGGGTACCGGCATTTCCAGTGCAAATGTTCTCTCTCGACTAGGCTCCCCGGTAGGGTGCACGTGTATGACAGGATTGGCACGCTGAAAGGAGATTGACCCAGCAGGGATCTGATTATTGCCTGAGTATCAGCAGGGCTGGATTGAGACTAGTTTGCCCTTGGGGACTATGGATTTGGATATGCAAAGGCCGACTGGATTCAAGGCCAGGACGACAATGTATCCTTAAACCCCGTTCGGGGCTCCATACAAAGAGGGCTGCATCTCGGTTGTCGGGTGTGTTACACTTTTGAAGTTGGGAGGGCCGTGTTGAAAAATCACGATGATTGTCTGGTTATGTCGACGGACGTTCATCGCTGGGTAGAAGCGTACGAGGATTGTGCACGACACCAACCACCCCCCTGCAATCCATCACCGTCTCTAGGGTAAATGAGATAAGATAAGTTGCCCTAGATATCCTGCGTCCCTTTCCCCGCGACTGTTGGCCGGGGCTGAAAACTTGACCCACTGGCCCCTGGCGTGGCCTCTCCCAGACCAGATGGCATAATCCATCACAGAGGCCTTTAAAAGTGAGTATGTGGTGAATAAGCCCCACCCCCAACCCCCAAACACTTTCTGACCAGGGTTGTTATTTTTCATCCCAGTTGCTCAAGGAGGTGTGCGCGAATTTGGACACTAAAAAGCTGCGCACAGCGTCTTACAGCCCGCAGACGGGTTGGGATGGTTCAAATGCTGAAGTACAATATTTCGACCATACTATGCCAAGTAGTCAATGAGAAACAAAGCCATTGGGATGTAGTACACATTTGGGGAGTTCTCGCAATGTGTATCGCTCTACTTGATGTACGGCCGAGAGCCCGCACCCCCGATAGAGAAGAATCTGGCCAAGGCATCGGCTCGCGCGAGTTTATGGGCGGCGTCTTTCTGGCCACATGTAAACTTTTCCAGGAGGAAGCGAGGGAGGTCACGAGGCTGCGAACAAACGGGTTTGGGGCAAAGTGTCGCGACCTGCAATGCAGTGGAAAGTAGACGACTTGGCATGGCTGCACTGTTCGCAAGTTCCGGTCGGCACATCTCCTGTCAAGGTCCTACAGGTTCTGAGGCCGCAATGCGTCCGGATTAAATTGGGAAATCGCCGTTGATGCATTCGACCCTCTCGCTTGCAAACATGCGTTCGTGCATCTCACTCATCGCCTTTCTTCCCTTTACCTTTCCAAGTTATTCTTGCACAGTATGGGCTATCATTGGAAGATTAACTTTTTTGGTTTTGTCGTGCAGTTTTCTTATTTACTGTTAATTATTTAGTTTTTCTCTCTCTTTGTCCACGTTAGGAGCATTAGAAGGGCTAAATTCGATGGGGGGGGGGGGGGGGCATTTACACTTCAGGGTAGTTATTAGGGAAGCATGAACTGGCAACGCTGAAGACGGCTTGGCCTCAAGGTAGGAGCGTCATGTCAAGGTCGTACAGGGGGCACGCTCAGATGTGGGGGGACGGGACGGGACGGGACACGGGGCCATAGCTGAGAGGATGGAAGGGTCACGTGGGGATGCGGGACCATACTCAAGACAAATAATGAAAGAAGACGGTGCTTACGAAGGTGCGAAAATGGAGATGGGGGAATGGAGGAGGCTCAAGGGAGAGATATTCGGCGGGAAACAAGAAGTAGGGGCTGAGAGGATATATATGAGGGGCGTGTGTCAGGAGCTCCGGGGCTCTGGGAGGAGAGAAGGCTGGTTGGAGAGAGAGCTTCCTACGAGGAGGCTCGTGAAGGACGCTGCTGCTACTGGGCAGTTGGAGGCAGTCGCCCTCCAGCAACAACGGAGGGCAGAAGAGCGACGCTCACAACAATGAGCGGAGCGCTGGGGCGGCTAAAACACAGCAAGTTCGCACAGTAGGGGGCACAGCTGGTGATCTCAGTCAGCCAACCCATGGCACCTGGATCTGTCCCGTGACCTGTCAGCGAGCCTTCGACACTTCACGTGGCCTCAAAGTGCACCTAGCCTGGCACAGGCGCCGTGGTGACTTCGCTTAGTGGCGAATGGCGGGTGTTGGTATTGGTTACTGGAACAATGAAGTGTCCTTACCTAGACGACTCGGCGGGGCTTTCTTTCTGGCGTGAAGAACACAAAACCGTCGACAGTGCAACATCGATGTGCCGACATCGGAGGGACCGCCGTCGATGTCAAAACATCGCCTCATCGCAACCAAACCATCGGTGTCACCGATGTTGTCCGATGTTCACTTAACCCATCCAGAAAAATTCAGAGCAAAGAGAGAGAGAGAGACGGGGTTTGTAACGCATTGCCATGTCAGGGAATCGAACTGAGGTTTACTGAGTTCACATACTCAGTGAGCTGTTCGCACATTGCATGATAGTTCAGCATATGACCATCTAGATTCTAGACAATTCATCACTAAAGTCTTGATGGAAAATCGTCATGTGTGCAAAGGTTATTGCACAGTCGTGGCTAACCTGTGACCTTCTCGTGTGCCCAAGAGAGGAAGTTTGGGGTGAAAAACACAAGGTCCTTACACACACAGTGGAGGCAACGACGACACGGGAAGATTGAGAAACGAGGCGAGGCAGGCGTGGACTGCACAGCAAGCTCACACACCACGAGGCCCACCAGGGTATTGAGATATTTACACCGCAGAACGTATTCGCCGTTAAATTTTACTATCTCCGCATGAACGTCGCGGTCTGTGAAAGGGACATTGAAGACACGTTTGCTGGCGAACGACCTTTGGACGGCGCCGCGTTTATTATGCAACAGGAGGTGACATTCAGAGGGGGCTTAGTTACAGGTTGCTGATGGTCTTGTTTGTTCCGAGACCGGCTGTCTCAACTCTCACCTTGGGCGCTTCATTCACAGAGTGTGAACGCAAGAGGAGAGGGGAACGGAGTTAGTGTTGTTATAATACAAAGAGTCAACTTAGATTCAGACTTTACCACGATACGTGAACGAGCAAAGTTGGATTTAAACAAAACGCCCGCTTGCTCGTCTATATATTTAGAACAGAGTGCTGTATTACTATTGTTGGGCCATCCCGTGATCTGCCTCTTATCGGTTGCAAAAGGTGAGTAAAGGAAATGGTCGAACGGGTTATTGTTGTCGTCGTTGTCGTTGTGATGTTGTGTTGCACTGTTTTGGCAACTTTAGCGTCAGGTGTTTTGTTTGTGGTGGCGATGTGCCGCAGGTGATGATCTGTACAGCTGTACAGTGCGTGCCTTTTTTTTTAACAGATAAACCTGTCAGGAGGTTTAGATGGGCGCCAATTAAAAAGGTTGGCCCAGATGTCTTGTGACCCCCCAATTAATTGACCCCTAACACCCCCCCCCCACCTTTGCATATTAACTTCTGTTTTAAATAAACCTTTAAAAATTTTAAGTTTTAGAGAATTAAATGTGGAGCAGGGGGGGGGTCACAAGACATTTGGACCACCCTGTACAGTATATACACGTAATGTTGAACTTCTTTCGCACCGTACGTAGCCAACCGTGCTCAAACGCAGGTGCGGTAAAGAGTTGTGCTCTTTTTTTCTAAACAAAAAAGGCAAATGTGTGTGAAGTAAGATGAAGATGCAGCAGCAGCAGGACTCAAAAGTTCGACCCAGACTGGCCAAACTGCCTTTTATTTACACAGCAGCAGCAGCAGAGTCACGTTTCAAACACAAGAAGAGGAGGACGCGGTGTCGTCAATGCCCTACTCGTGTTCACTCTCGAATTGCTTCGAATAAACAGACAAAAAAATGTCTCGTGTCTGTAACGAGTGACGCCTGCAACGGACAGCAGCCGGCTAACTGTGTTGCAGTGTTGCATTGTGATGCTACAGAAGAACCCATCAGCGTGAACCTCGCTGTGTCACTCACCAACACTGCTCTCTCTCTCTGTGCACACACAGAAAGAGAGAGACGAGAAGAAGAGGTCTTGGGGAGGAGGTGACGATGGCAGCCAACAACACCGCCAGCATAGCGCAGGCGCGGAAAGCGGTGGAACAGCTGAAGCTGGAGGCGAACATGGACAGAATTAAGGTGCGAGGGCGTTGGCAGGAGAGGCTCGGTTGTTCGTTGGGTCGCTTCGGGAAATATTCTGCTTGCAAGCTTTTCAGTGCCCACAGCTCGATTGAGTTCCATTGCGTTGGGGGTTGTTGTTGTTGTTTCCAGTCCACGGAAGACGACGGACGAATTTAAAGGTGCGGCAAAGCCATCAGATATCTCACTCGCGTTATTGCTGGCGAGAAGGGCGCTCAGCTCTAGAGAGAGGCCCCCTCTAGAGAGTATTTGGCCTACTTTTTTGGCGCTGGCCAGACCTCTCGGAAGATTTGGGAGCTACCCTTAGCCCTACCCACACGCGAGCTGCTTGATCAACTAACTGTGGTGTGGGTGCCACTTGTATGAATCGACACAACTCATCATTAATTGGCTGAAAACATTTTAAGATAAAAGCCCCAATGTAGCAGGACCGTCCTGAGAAAAAGAGTCCTATGACTCAGTGTGGCTATCCTGGATAAAACAAGTTGAGTTTATTGTTTATAACGTGCGTATCCCACTCCAAATACCAGTCGGAGCCTTCATGATGCAGGAAAAAAAAACGCGGAGCAGCTGAAGATAGTTTTGCCGACAAACATTCGGGATGTTATTTCTACCAATACAGTTTGTTTATTTAAGTAATGTAGTAAATTAATTTCTCAGCTCAGGAAAATGTGTGCACAGTGCATACCAAATATAATTACAGCAATTAAGTCATACACTTATTCAGCTTAAAATATCTTCTCAAATCCGCTAATTAACAGCGGATTGTATTTTTCTTGGTTTAAAAATGTATCTATATATATTTTTAAAGTACTACTACCGAGTGCAGGTCTAAATGCCCAAAATGCTAAACAGCACTATTAATATTGCAACAGAATAGTTCACACATGATTGTATTGAGCAAGGTTGAAATACCTTGGGGAAAAACAGATATGGTGCAGGTGGAAACATTCCTTCGTCTGGCAGTGCCAGGGAAGAAGCAGAAAGATAAGTGTTATGACCTGCAATGTGGTGGTTGAGCACGGTGTGGATTAGATGAATCAGCCAGTCAGTCGGGTAGAACGAGTCCTTGACACGGGTAAAGGAATGAATGAGGAAATTTCACCAGTACAGTGACCATGGTAGGAGCGATAGAAGAGTGATATGGAGTATAAATACATGTTAATTTTGATTCATGTTTTTTTCTGACTGTATGTGAACGAAAAGACACAAATTCGCCGGTTTTCTCATTGAAAATAGGTACATTTTTAAATATCACTGTCCTGGTCACACAAAAGCAAAGTTTGTGGGGAATAATAGCCATTTTCTGTACTTTTGAGGCATAAGCAATTAGGAAATAACACTTACTACCCAGGAACATTTATTATTGTTACAGTGTTATCAATCGGCCTGACTTCCAAGAATATAGCCATTCAATTACAAATCAAATAAGATTGATCTGTAATTGAATATTACCATGGCCAAGAACATTGAGGAACTGTGGCAAACATCTGTATTTGTTAAGAAGCTGAATGAATTGTTTATGCAGCGCTCTGGTTTGCCAAAACTTTCGTGAAAAAGTTGAAATAAAATTCGACCAATCTCATATTCGGCTCTTAATTTAAATAATGTATCGTATGGCAAAATAAATAAGCAGACAGTACATCTCTTGTCACATATTCGTCTCTCCACATAAAAAGTTAATGTATTTCTTATGCAACCCATCAGCCGCACGGCCATTTGAGAGTGCATCATTTCAGCAGAAATGTTTTAAGAAAAGCAAACTCTGGAGCAGTTTCGGAATTCAGTGTCTCATCAGCAGGCTTGCTTGAACCAACGCTGGTGAACTGGCGATCTTAGAGACAAGGACAGTCTTCTTCTTCTTGGTTCTTTCGGTAAAGTCACGTAGAAGGGAAGTAATAAAATAATAAAAATAAAACATAATAAAATAAAATAATTCTCACGACGTTTCGGCTACAACGCAAGCAGCCGTCTTCAGGTGAAGAATGAGACACTGACCAAGCTAGGAGCTTATACATAAGCTGGGTTGGAGGTGCAAGAAGAGCGCCTTAACAAAAAGAATGTGCATATCAAGAGGAATTTAGCATATTCATGGGAAATGCGTAGGAGGTGGGCGGGGGGGGGGTGACAAGGACAGTGTCTGTATCATATGGGGTCCTAGTTTGAGGGAAAATTAAAAATAGTAAATAATTGCTCTTGATTTATGAGTGTATTGCCGTTTTAACGCAACCACGTTTAATATTCTCATACTTTGTCAAAATACAACATCAATTATTACTGGCTGATTTTGATCTGTTACAGGTCTTAAAAAGTAACACAACTTGATGTGACGATTATTGTCGCTTATGTTTGATGCGTTTAGGGCTCAACAAGCTCGTGAAGTATTGTCACTCTTGCTCAGTTGGCCACAATTTATGCAACCAGTCGGTATACTGTGGGCGCCTATTACCGGAAGCTTGTATTTCCAGAAAAATGTTGATGCTTTTGTACCAACAACTTAGGTTGTCGGAGTTTAGACTTATCAGATAATTTCTGAGAGGAAAAAATGTGCAACTAAGACACGTTTAGGAGATCGCCAGAGAGTACATATGTAATACATTTTTATATTTCTAAACATGATGATGTATGTAAAAGTTCGAAAACTCTTCATTTGTTATGCGGCTATTGATGGTCACCACCATATATATTTATTAGTACTGTACCTAATGTGGTAATTAGATGCTGGGAAAGTGCATGGATTAAAGGGCCTCCAGAACAACCATATTTCATAACTTGAAAATGTTCACTCCTTATAATTTGATGAACTGTGCACAATTCAGGAGTCTAGTATATATATTTTAGGCGATGCATTGCAGTGCACACACAATTTGACGTGTGCATTGTGGGTATAAGAATCGACTAACCCTCTTTGCAATATTGCAGTGAATGGATGTTGCTTTTTTATGCCCACATGCTCCGTAATGCACCGCTGTCACTAACCCTTTTGTCCTTGCAGGTATCAAAAGCAGCAGCGGATCTGATGGCTTACTGCGAAATCCACGCCAAGGACGATCCTCTGCTGTGCCCCGTCCCCGCCTCAGAAAACCCATTTCGAGAAAAAAAACTCTTTTGTGTCATCTTGTAGAGTGCGTGCCAAACAATAAGAAAAAAAACACCTACACAGTAGAGAGTAAAAAAGTTAATGAAAAAAATTGGAAGCCCCCAGCTACATTTTACAGCAACGCTGGCGCAGAGATCATCAAGAATGGTGGAAAATGAAGGCAGAAAAAGAGCAAAGCACGAGTCGAATGAGGGGGGGGGGGGGGGCTGCCTTACTGGGCAGAGCCACCCAGCTGGCCACAGCCGACGTCCTGTGGCTGAAATGAAACAGCTTGACGAGCGGTCGTGATAGCAGACATGTTTTAGGTAATGCTTGTGTAAAAACAAAAATATGCCGCGCCCCCCCTCCCTTATCTGAAGTCTTTCCTTTTTATGATTTGTACGCCTTTGCAGGTGCTCACGAAGAGCTCCTTTCGCCTAGCTAATGCGTAAAACTTGATAATGGTGCAATGGTAAAAGGTTGTTTTCCATGACTGAATGGACAATATTTTTAGGATAGGTGACTGTTATGTCCATTGCGCTATAGCAGTTTTATAATTACAGTAACTGAAATGTTGCCATTAACTATATATTATCTTATTTGACAAGGTGGCAATGTAAATACTTTTCACAATTTTTATTATTTAAAATGTGCATGCATCTAAACACTGAACACTGAATGGGTAGACTTGCATTTTACTTGCAGAATGATTTAGAAACGCAAGTGAATTTCTTCGTAACAATATTTGGGTCTGCACCCTCACTTTTGTCTTCTACCGTATGCCTGTTAAGCTGGGTCAATTTAGCATTGAATTTAAATAAACTTTTGGTACTAAACTTAAAATTATCCAAGATGCAGCTTTCACGCATCGTATAATATTCCACCAATGTACACTGCAGTTGTCCATCAACGTTGTTACAGGCGTTATGGTTTGAATTCCATTTGTGACTTTGCAATGTATTGCCCAAAATAAAATGTCCATCATGGTATATCCTGAAAAAAGCCTGTTTGGTTGATACTTCCATTGTCAATAGGTTGCCTCTAATTGGATGAACATTGATAGCAAGATAAACACTTACTCTATACACAGCATCGTGGCGCGTGATTGAACCCCTTTTCCTGTTCAATAAAGTGCAGGTGACTACATGACCTAAATATCACATATGCAATTGAAATATAGTAATCAACACATGCACATCCCTTTGTAAATCTGCTGCTGGATATTAATCATAATTTGCCATTCTGGTCAGTGCGGGTCGGTGAAGGTGTGGAGCATTGACATATTACCTACTGCCTACAACCCACAGACAATAATGCCTGTTATATGCATGGTGATCGCCTAGCTTCAGAGATCCGACAAAGTCGGCTGAATTCCAGGTGATTTAGTAAATGCCATCAACCCATATAAAATGAAAATATTCTAGAGCAAAAAACTCATTGTGCATTGATAGCCACTTTTCTTGCCACTTGATAGTGGACGTAAGTGGACTTTTAGTTTGTTTCGCACAACATGTATCTGCTCTGCTTGATATTGTACCCAAAATGAGGATGTGTTGTATATTTAATTGTACAACTTTTAGTCATTGAACGTTTACTACATCTTATTAACTTGTGTATATATATAATAAAAAGTGTAATCAGAAATCTATTTCACGTGGACTTTTTTTCACACATAAATTGTTACGTTATCAAAGCGACACAAAGCGATACCTACCACCAGTGCCAATCGCAACGCACTGAAATGGAACCATTTGCACGAGGGGTCAAATTACCGTGACAAAGTTCAAACGTTACGGTACTCGAACTGTAAATGTTGGTTTTACTGGTAGGATCCCACTGGTTCCACCAGCCTACAGTGGACGAATTGGCTGTTGGGTGGTGGCGGGTTTTACGACATTTATATTTACGCAATCTAACCCCAAAAAAACCGTTATTACGGATTTTTTTTATCCTTAGCACAGGCCCAAAACGCCAACTGGCCAGCAACAAACAGTACAGTCCTATTAAAGTTCAAATAGATCGGAGAAGATTCCCAAGTCGAGCAGTGCGAGGGAAGACGCAGAAGTGTTTTTTCCTGCTTTTTGTGTTTAATGTATCCCCCCCCCGCCCCGTAACTCGGATTAGCATGGTTAGCTAATACGTACGGTGCAAAAGAAGTTCTACATATATCCGGCAGTACGGTGGTTAAACAACGTGTGGGAAAACCAGAGCACAGAAAACCGAGACCATTTTATGACAGTATACTTTTATTCTACACTTTACACAACAGCATTGCATTTCCCATAGAAAAAAAGACATACAGCAAATCGTCCTATAGTTTGGTAGAAAATGTCGTTAAAAGTGTGCATCTCATTAAACGTGTGGTCGGAACGCAGACTTTATGTTACACCCATCGCCCGCATCCACTCGCAGAAGAAGAAAACCACGTCCCGAATTTACAGCAGCAATTTTTTACGGTCTTACACAGCAGCCTGCGTTTTGTTGCGTTCCACAGTAAACATTGAAGCAACATACAAAAATACATTACATTTAATTTTTGGTAACACTTGGCTCCTGCTCGTTAAAAAGGGGAACCAATAAACTGAAAACAATAAAATGGGACATGTTAGTGTAATAGAAACGGCAAAAAAGTTATTAAAATAAATCGACATACGCGACGTGTACGGTTCACATCATGCACCGAATTGCACGCTTCTCCCCCCTCCCTCCGTGACACTGTTGATTTTGCAAAAAAGAATAAGCTCTTTTACCTGCAACATTTACAAAGTCTGCAGCATGCTTTACAAATAACACAGTGGTCCATCAAAGTGGTATTTTTAAGCTTTACATGTATACAATATCCACCACAGAGGAACTCTGTGTGCTGGAACAGAAATCAACGAACAACTCTCGTCTGCTTGAAAACAAGTCTGCAGTCCTTGACGAAAACAGCAATAGTGTGTCGTCTTCTTAATGCGGCAGTGCTCGCAAGAGATAGTTCTCGAACGCATGCTGGTAATGCCGGTCCGTCGTCTACGCTAGTGTATTATTATCCTCGCTCCGTTTAGCCCAAGCATCATTCGACGATCATTCATTTGATCCTTTTGAAAACAACGAAGAAACAGCATCGCCAAGGACAACTTTCACGTCGATGACGACGGCGACGAAAATAAACGGGAGCAGCTTCCCCACCTCGCCAATCGTACACACGAACATAAATACACGCAGATAACAACAATGCATAATTGTACATGCCATGTCCATTTTGCTACATGCACTGCATAGTAAGAAGGTAAATTATAAAGTAAACGGAGGTCAATGTACACAAATCATTTGTCGTCCTTGTCTTTCATTCGCTTTGTTATAGACTACAGTCATACGAGTACACATGCATTGAGCCTTCATTGCTGCCGCTGTCTTTGAGTCTTCCAGCAAAAGCCATTGTCGAGTCCCATGACTCTTTCAGGAGGGCTTTACAACTCCGAGTGTCTTGTACAGATAAAAATGTACAGAGCTTTTAATTTAAGCCGGCAACCTTTGGATCAAAATCTGCAGCTTTCTACCCCGCTAAATTAACGTGAGCAATTAATCAATAAAACAAAGCACGAAACTTTGATCGAGTTACAGTACTGCAGTATTTTCGTTTTTCAGCAACTAGCACTGCCTTTAGTGAAATTAGGGGGAACATTTCTGAGGATGTACTTTTCTTTAAATTATAATTAGAGCAAAGGTTTTAAATGTATTCATGAGCTCGAAACAGATGAATCCTTGTTTCTGTTTAAAAGGACGTGAGGTTTGTGGAAGTGAAGTAGATAACATTTCGCGTTGAAGGTAAACGATTACATACCAAAATGTTAATACTACGTGGACATATCACATTTTGTCATGATGTGTCTATGAAGTGAAACCAATGGGTTAGGACCCAAAAATGTAGTTTTGTTGTTGTGTTCCTCAGATATGCAAGTGCTAGGCGTAAACGAGTTTTGATATTGCAGCGTGCCAGGCAGTATAAAACGTATAAAAGGAGCGCGGCAAACACAGCATTCCGTTCAAAGCAAACTCTTCAGTCGTAAGGGGACTGCAGCCGGCCATTTGCATGTTGGACATAACGCAACAAAGAGGATACGTGAATTCTAGGCATACCAGATGTAACCAGTCAGAGTTGAAGCTAATAATAATCCAGCAATGTTGTTCCTTGAACGTAGACTTTGTGACTGTCCACAACGGTGATACGTCATTACTCTTTGACCTCCTCTACATTTGGTGTGTCACGTGTTGGCAGCAAAAGGCAGTAAACATTTTCGTTTGGAAGTGCTTTTATCTCTCCAAGCTCAAAGACTTCATATATTTTCACATGCGCACCCTTTTAGCAAAGCACGTTTGCATTTCAAATCTGGGTGGAGTTGGTTACAGTCAAGGACATGTTGAGGGTAAGCGTCCACACTCAAATTGATTGTTGATAAGTTACATTAAACATCAAAACTTGTTTTGTTCAAAATGGATGAATGCTCGTAACGCCATGTGACATAATCGGCTGTGGAATATAAAAATAACGCATAAAGACCAGCCCAGGCTTGCCCTGCTTGAGCAGTGTATTTCATCACAAGAATAAGTCAGAGGCCATGCTTCTCGCGATGTTGGCGAAATTAATTGCCCCAGATGGCATCGACAGGGTACACACTTCTCTCCCCTTGCAGTAATTCCGAACCACAACGCCTGTGGTTCTAATTTCAAATTCAACTTGCATGGAGCACACGCGGCTGGAACATCTTGTCGAGCAGCATGAAGGTAAGTGCGTGTATCCGTCAATGGCATCAAAGAACGTTTTTTTTACAGTCGTCAGATGGTGGATCCCTGGAACATCAATGAGAATATAAGATAGAAATCATGTCCCCACAGGCTTGGCACTTTTTTTTTTCGTTACTTGATATATTCTTAAGAAACGGGCGGTGGGCCGCTATGCTGAGAAGCTTCCCAGGAACGAGTAGAAGAGGGGCGGCTTTGAACGGGCATGGTCCCTGCGACACCAGGCGACCACTTTGCCCTCGCTGTCCACTGTGAAGAGGTGTAGCCCATCGCACGAGAATGTCAGGCTGCGGGGCAAGAAGCGGGAAGCAAGTACCACCACAGCGACATCACAGTAAGTGACGTGAGGTCAGGGCGGTACACGACTGCTCCGGATGCAATGGGTTTGGCAGATTGATTAAGGACACGAGTGCTTGCTGGTGCGATGCTCTTTTACGTCAGTTGCTGAACTCTGTTGGGGATATTCTCATACATAAATCACAGATAACCCAGTTGAGCTATGCATGATAAATGAGTTCAGACATTAAATGGGAAAAGTTAAAGGCACCGCACAAGCAGACAAAAACATTTTTTTAAAATTTACGTTCAAATGCCTGATATACATTTATTTAGAATCAATTTTATTTTTATGCTACAGCAAAGAAGTGACTTGCCATTGTAATGTATTTTTTTCGCAATTTAAGAAAATGATGTAAAATCAATAATGACTAAGGGCCAGATTGCAATGACCTTGGAAATTTGTCTCAATGTTGGTAACGCCCAACCTGCATGGACAAGCGTGAAGAATGGTCAAATAACCCCCATAAGCCAGATAGGGTAGATAGGCCCTCATCCGGCAGTGAATGAAAAAGGGATGTACATGAAATTGTTAGTAATCCAGATATCAGCACATTTATGCCAAAAATAAGACACTTATTTTTATTTGCCATCACATGGCTCAAGCCAACATCTCTGGACTGTAAGATTACTGTCACAGAATAAGTACATTAGGAAATATTTGTTTTGTGGATGTATTTACCTGATAACAGCTAGGCCAGACTTGGGGTATGCAATTTCCCGAACTGGTTTCAAATCCCAAGTGCTCCAAAGTCTACACACGTTTTAGAGAAATAGCGGAACATCAGAATCAGGATTACTGCATGGTACTAGCAAAAAACCTTAATTTGGAATGTGGCAATAACAATTTTAGAAACAATCAAATTAAAGTAATCCCTTATACAACACACAGCGTACAGCCAAACATTCATAACATTGTTGCATTAGTTTTATGTTCAATTTGTTTTTCTTGTCTCTGAGCTATGATGTCTGCATGCACAGACCCAATCTAACCGAATGCATTGGCTGTGCATATTCAGACTTGGCAAACCGATGCTGGTCACATCATCAACCCGTCTCGATGTGAGTTGGGGGATGTGGGGGATGGGGCAAAGGATAATTCCTCAGGTTCGTGTGAATTGTAAAATAACATCGTCCATTTCCCCAGGCTGTGTTCCTGTAAATGTTACATGAAGAAATCTATAAAGGGTTGAGGATCGGCATTACGAGCGCCCGTCGGCTCACGCCCGGGCACCGGTGAAGAAATAGAGACACGAAGACGATCACCTGACGACTCCCGTTTCGAGGCCTCCGGCAATCACGTTGACAGACGTGCCCTCCGGCTGGTTTGAGAACGCCAACGAGCGAACCATCTCCGGAGAGTGAACGTGGCCGATCAGGTCACCATTCACCGTCCAGAGCCGCAGGTCACTGCCACCCCCGACTGTCGTCGAAAAATACACAACACCTCACGTGAGAACCACGAACGACTGGGGGCGGGGAAGGGGGGAGATCTTAATTTCACAATTATTTGCACACCGTGCTCCACTGCTCCACGCCCGGGGAAAGAAAATGGCCACCAATATTTAAAGCAACAATTTGCTTTGCTTCTTTTGTATGTAAGCCACATATGTTGCAATGACGGGTACGTATTTGGCATGTCTGTGCATAGTCCGTTTTGACAAATCACGCCTGGATGAGGGCCTGTCCTATGTCCTGCGGGACCGTGAGGGATATGTGACCATACTTCGCCACACTGGTAAGAGCAGATTGTTGAAGGTTATGGAAGAATTTCAATGGATTTGCTGCACTGCCCTGGCCATAATGCCTATTACACCCTTTCCTTGGGCATGGTGGTCACCCATCCAAGCACAATCCAGGCTCAACCCTTGCTTAGCTGCTCTGATGAGACTTGGCATGTTCCGGGTGATCTGATCATAGGTGGAAAAGAATTAAGTGGCACATTTACCCCTACAAAGTCCCATCATCAAATTAACTTTCAGAACTATGTCCATAACAGTGTGGAATGGAATGAGACAACATTGTTCGGAGTAGCTTACTCTGCTGTAATCACCTTGAACAAAATGTTAATGTTCATATTTCATGACCGAGATATTACGTTTCAATTGGTTCTTGGCTGGTTATAAATAAAATATTAGAATTATTGATTATTCATGACTGTTTCCACCTCATACAAATGACATTAAGGAGCACGAAGGAAACATATTACACTCCATTCCATGTTGTGACCCACGGAAATTAAACATTGGCTTTGGAAATGCAAAACATTTATTAGAAGCTAGATTTTGTCAAAATAACTCGCAAAGTCCATTTCTGATCATTTTCATTTGTTCCCACACGGCCATAGCTGACGGCTTGATTAACAAGATACAGACACAGCCCTCGATCTCTGAGGGCAATTCCAGGGCACAGTGCCACCGGTAACACATTAACTGTCGCAATTTGGTACGGGAATGGCAAACAAAAAGGTGGGAGTTCTGTCTGGCCAATGAAAACAGAGTTTGTTGAAAAGTGCATTTGATAGGCCACAACCGCAGGCTGCTCATATGTGACCCCTGTGATTTCATTGTAAATTACCATTCAAGTTGCACGCAAGGGGAGAGACAGCGATTACATTTGTCCAAACCTGGGCACCTACATATTTCATGACGGAAAATGGTGAGGCAAGCATTGCTGATTATGTTTGTTGCCAATGATTTCTGTACAATTTCCCAAGTGTAGCATGGTTTTTTAAGAGGGAAACACTGTTCATACTAACTTAAGTGTTTTTATTTTTCTAACTCTCATCCACCTAGAGGTTCAGGCCCTGAACCTCAACAGCAGCAGCTCCAGTACTTAGCGTTACTCAAGCCACTCCTCCATTCAGCATCCCAATTTATTGCACTTTTTAAGGCAGCATTTCGCAAACTCCAGTCCTCGTGAACCCACTATGGTCTGCTTCTCTTGATTTTTTTTATATTCGTCTCTTTGCCTAATTTTATCCCGACAAAGAATTCATTCACAATTATCGCAAAACTGTACCGTTTGTTGCTGGTAGAGAAGGGTCAGGTGTAACGAGATGACAGAAATACTTCTGAAATCTCTTTTAACTTACCTCTTATCCACACTCGGGGTCAGGTACAGATCGATAAATGTTCATCCCACAGCAGTTACATTAATTTAGTTTTTAGAGCTTGAATTTTTTTCAAATTAAGTGCAAAACAAAATGTAACATTGCGGGGTTTTTTTTTACAGTCATTGGTTGACCGAGTTAAAACCGTGAACTCAGTACATTTGAGAACCGAGTTTAATCGAACGCAACTGTCTGGATCTTAACCCAGGATATGTCAGCTCAGTGATCTGAACTGAGCCACCCACTATGGCCTGCTTTAAAAAAAAAGATCTGCTCTCGGTATATCACGTGGGACGTGACTATCACTCATCAGGCGCATGTGTTGTGTCACGACTTAATTAGTATTTTAAAAGCAAAGATTGGTAACCGTGGAAGGCGGACTTCGGTGAGTCTCGACAACTGGAGTTTGACAAACACTGCGTGAAAGGATTCTAGATTGATTTTACCCAGAAGTTCCACGTGCAAAGATGGTTGAACTACAATTAAAAATAATTGCCTGTTGGAATAAGACCACTGCGGGGAACAAAAGATGAAAGAAATAAATGAAATGAATAATGTGTAAGTGAAATAGTGCATCGTTTGGCCCTCTGCGGAGAAGATGCATTACAGCTAGCAGGAAGCTTTGAGACTTATTGCTCAAAAATTCCACAAGCATTGCTTCAAATGGATATGGCTAAATCACTCTTCATGCAAGCAACCCTCATCAGATCTCGAAAGCTAAGCAGGAGATTGAGCCTGATTAGCATTGCCAAGGGAGATTGTGTGAGAACACCAGGTGGCATAGGCCTGGACTGTGTGATATGGCCTGGCTAAGGCAGTAGAGTAATGTTTGAGCGTCATCCTCTCTTAGTATGCATGGGTTGTCCTTCTACATGCCAAATACTCATTAATGATATTGGCCAAACATCCTATTACAGAACTCTCCTAGTCTTGATTCTCATGGAGGCTTTTCTGGGTAAATAAATGCCATTAACATTGAATACAGTTATTACGTATGGTAAAATACACAGAAGTCAATATAATATTTTAAACCTGCACCTCCATAATAATGGTATTTTGTAAAGACTGTTTATAAAAACATAATCAACTCCATTCTCTTTTATGGTTATGTTGCTAATTTCCCAGGAGCGACATTACGTTTTATATATAATTTAATAAGTTACTTGTATCAAATTATATTTAAACCTCGGATCTGTTTGTAATTGCGTGAAGATACGAACGTTTACCATTAAATATTTGAACGGCATTTTCCCACAATAACCAGCAAGTTGCCCTTTTATTAAACCAAGGTTACCATACGCATATAGAACTTAAGATTGTGAAAGAGGCAGAATCGAATGAGATATACGCTGTCGCATAAAGGCTTCTGGGTTACAATAAAGTCCCTTGTGGCATTGTCAAATAGGCATGATGGACGAGGTTATTAGTGTGAAATCAGGGCAATTATTGGCCTCTCAAAGCAGCCATTGCAGAGCCAATGAACAACAATGTGCGTGTGCGATTAGGCCCAGGGTATGCTACCTTCTGAAAAAAAACAACATACAATGGGGCTAACACAGACCCTTTTCTTCTTTTGATCCTGAATTATGGGCATTATGCTGTAAATGCATTCCGTGGCATGACAGCATTAGAGGAGCAATGAATTGCCTCTCATGTAACCACAAATACATGTTGAACTTGATGCAAAAGCCCTGCCAAACAGAAAGGAAGACAATTGGATTCATATGTTCATGAAAACACGTGACGCGCAGCATGCGCTTTCCAGGATGCAGGGAACTTTGTTTTGTGTTTGAGGAAAACGTGGTTTTTGCGTACCATGGCATTTAAAACACCAAGGCCATTAACACGCAGCTGCTGCCCACCACAAAATCACAAATGGCTCGCATAATGACAGCGATTGACATACGCGCAAGTACTTAGCTACCATTTTCTTGTCCATTCTGTAGGAGAGGTTTTTTTTCCTTCCGTAATCATAAAGCTCTGGTGCTATTTTAAGAAATTGTTGTGTTTCTATATTGTTTCGACATATTGGGCGGCAGGGCGGTGGAGCTTTGATCTGATCCGACTCTGATTTGTGTGTTATCCCACCTATTTTACATGGATTTGCTCTGGGTTCTCCGTTTTCTCCCCACAGTAGAAAAAAGAGATGTCTGTTTTTGGAAAAAAAAACATCCCAATGCCACAAATTTACCTCCAGGTTACTCAGTTGGGATTACAAATCACAACATCGCCCCCCTTTTGAGAAAGTTTTAACAGGATCGGCCTGAGAAAAGTCTTGAGACTCAATGAGACTTTCCTGGCTAAACAAACTGAATAAGAACAACACAGAATGTACAATGAGAGCAGATTGTTGATTTTGATTGAAAGAAATGCTGCGTCTGGATTTGACTTTCCCCCCCTAAATTTTTAACAAAGCACTAATCTTGAAATGTTTGTGTGGTGCACAAATTGTTTAGGAAGGTCGATGATAACGACAAAAATGACACGTGATTATTCACCGTATTCCCTGCCCTGATCAGCGAGAACAAATAGCTTAAATGCTCACCGACACGACCTATATTAATGGATAATTTTTGAAAAAATACTTTTGCTGTAGACAACACAACCGTATAGTTACAAACGCTTTTTAAAAACGGCTGACCTCTTGTTCAACTGAGCACACAAGAGACGTGCAAAATCCCTCGGAGGCGTCACTCGTATACGACAAATGCTATTCCTGGCACAGATCGTACACACGTTTGCCATTGCGTTATCTGGCACACTCGAGCCCGCGTGCGTCTGAGCTTGCCGATTCATTAGCCCCATCCCTTGCCGGGCGAGCACACGAGTTGACGTGAAAACGCGGACGATGCTGAGCTTATTACACGAGCAGAGAGACGATGACTATAATAAAAATAAAATGAAGACGAGACTCAAGGGGCGGCAGCAGCAGTGGGCGGGGTGTATTATGATGACTAAACCCCCTCTACGTTATGAGATTCTTGGGTGGCATGAAGCGTGAAACTCCAGCGTAGTTGCTCGCTGCTGCACCGTGGTGGATCCGGCACCGTGCCGTACCGGAGCTGCAGGCCGTGGCGATGTCGCCGGTCGTTTCGCTCGCCGACACGGCCATGACAGGACTCTTGTGTCCGGTCAGGCTCTGGACGTAGCACAGCCTGCGGAAACCACGGCAACGACACCGAACTCATTAAGTCAGGGGTCCCAGGGAGCCACGGCAACGACGACGACTCGTTAGTCACCGCCCCGGAGACACGTCACAACGACAACAAGGAGCCGTTAGTCGTGACCGCACGGAACCGCGACGATGGCTCCTCATTAGTCACGGTCCCAAGGGACAAGCGGCGATAAGGGAGCAAACTCATCAGTCGCAGCCTCAAGGACGCAAGGCAGCACCAAAACCTGCAGTTACTACCTTAGGGAATCACGAGTGCAGCACCGACTCATTAAGCTGTAGCGAAGACTTCAGGAAACATGACAGCGCCATCCAGTTAGTCACAGCCTCAAGGGACCCACAACTCCAACACCAATTAGCCAAATCTCACTTTATCTATTTTTTATGGATGTATTTTCAGCAGTAGCCCAAAATAATGCGTGCATATTTTTTTTTATGAAACGGGCCTCAGAATATAATAAGGGGGTTATTTTTACAAATGATATATTTTATATGGTCTGGGTAGTGGGTGGGTAGACTTTGCATAATGATAATTCAAATAATAATTTACAGCCCTTAAAATAATCCACTGCTGGATAAAGGTCTTCTCTTGCCGTGTTAGTCGCAGGGGGTTATCTGACCTTACTTTACCACAAATGGTCAGTGTGGGTTAGTGAAGGGTGGGCCAATGGATGGTTCATGTCACTCGCCGCTGACGCTCGCTGCGAGTGGGAGCTGAACTCAGGTAGTTGGGTCAATAGCTCAATGCACCAGCTACTGGGTATAAATAGGAATGTTTAAATGAAGTGGCGAATGGGTCGCTTGCCATGCGTGACTGGCAGCATGTATTTTACAATAGGATGCATATATATAATTTCTCTTACTTGATGCAGCAGTCGTGCTGTGACGGTTCCACCTGAAGATGGAAGCTTGTGTTGCCTCCGAAACGTCGTGATTTTTATTTTATTTTTATTTTACTTTTATTAATTTTTATTTAAATTTTTTACCTACGTGACTTTACCGAAAAAACCTAAGAATATGAATCCTTGCAGTCACGAAAGCTTAAAATCTAGAATAGATATATTTGAACGTCTACTCTAACAATGAGTGCCAAAAGATGACGAACAATAATCTTAATAAATCCATTTCTATGCAAAATGTATGAAGAGGTAAGGTCACAATTAAATCAGCATTCTTCTCAAGGGACGGCCGAGTATGCACTGTGGGGGTTATTTGACCATCTTGCTGGCCAGTGCGGGTTGGTGAATGCAGACTGCGTAGACGTTGCAGAATAGTACAGCACAACGATGCCTTTTGCTTTTTGCTGCACTGCCCTCTGCTGACAACGTAGCCCCACGATACACCCGAAATGCGGATGGACAGCATTGTACGTCTTGACATCCACATTCGGCACATTGCTATGGCTACACAGCAGTGGCTAACGTAGGTCAGCAGAAGGTGGTGGAGCGACATTCGTCGTTGCAGCGTGTGCTATGCGGGTGTGCGACGTGACCTGTTGAGGTCCCAGATGATGCAGGTGCCATCGATGCTGGCGCTCACGAGGACGCTGTACGGCTTGCACACGTGCAGCAGCGCCACGGCGTCCGTGTGGCCGTATAGGTGCACACACGACTCCACTTCCAGCTCCGACGGCTGCAGGGAAGAGGGACAGAAGTAAACCAACAGGGCGCGTTCACAGAAACAAATGTATCATGCAATGGTTGCATTGCCGTGAATGCGTGTTGCGTACAAGCTATGCAATGGTTAAGTGCACTGCTCTATGAACGCAGCACCATGAGTTCGATTTCCGGCCATGGCTAACATCTGAAATCGGGCGACATAAGAATTTGGAGATCAAGCAATGAAAGTCGTGAGTTCGTTTCGTGGATAAACCAAAACTATCTAAAGACGTCGGGTGGGACGCCGAGGGTGGACCTTACCGTGGCTGCACTGAAGCGAGTGACGTAGGCAGTCACCACTCCCTCCTGGTTCCCTGTGAACAGCTGGCAGCCGTCCGGGACCCACGCACAACTTGACACCTGGGACGATGCACGGCAGAGGCACCGGTTGTGGTAGGCATGGCAATGACGAGTCCATTCACGATTAAAACAGATTCTTATGCTTGTGATACATGCAATGAACCGTGCACTTGAATCATACATTATTTGCAATTAAGGAAATTGCATGCATTTCACAGTGATTTCCATTGCACGTAGTTCTGGTTATTTGTCACGATTCTTTAATTCATTATTAGTGGTCCTCGTGCATATAAAATTCCCCTGCTTCGGTTCTCTGCAACCTCTGTAAATCCTTTCTTCCCATGTAATGTGCTTGCTGCCTTGGCGGGGTCACCATTAAGAAAGAGCTTCTTAGTTCAAGGGACCTTACCTGAAACAAAACGACTGATATGCTAATGTTACCTTTAGGCTTTAAAGAACAAAGCTGTGCAAATGGCATAGAAAAAAAAGGTGTGTCGTGATCAAGATGATATGCAAATAAAAAAGTACAAATAAGGTATACATTTTGTTTTAATTAGATGGTGGAAAAAGAGATGAAACAAAATCACCCATTCTTGGCTTGAATTGTGACTTTGGGCACGTTCTAATGATCATCAGCCGTGATCAATATTACACTCTAATAGCTCTACTTGTATTTTGAACATTCAATACATAAAATAATAATAATGTTCTTTACTTATCCACAAAAGCCTCATTTAGCGTTAAGATTATTTTTCTGGAGGGTGCTCTGTTTAGATGTTTTGTCATTTACATTTTTAATATGTGCTGTGTGCAATGCTATTTTCTCTTCCACATCATGGGAGTACAAGGTTGTAATTTAAAACGAATATTTGCATAATACAAATACATAAAGCGGGGTGAGTTGTAGCAGCTAGCGATTTGTGCATAAGGTATAAAAATATAGCAGTAAATCTACACGTTTATTATGTATCGGGATAGTGGAAGAGGAAAACAAATAACAAAACTCAGGTGATAATCTGAAACACCTAAAGCCACACACAACCCGTGGCTTAAATGAGAATATATGAGTGTGTCACACGACAGGGTTAAACAAACAAAGAACACTGGTGAAAATACCATGCAATGCATGTACGCTTGGGATTAATCAGGTCACTGTTGCAACACACACACACACACACGTGTGCTCATTTTTTTTACTCACTTGATCAGCCGCGTCGCATTGTATGAAGCTGACTGGAGGCTCGGTCTGTTTGCTCTTCAGACGGAGGATGTTGTCTGCATAGCCCCAACTCAAGATGGCCGACCAGTGGATGTCCGTGTTGTGCATGCTGCGAACGCCTGTGAACGGGCGGCAACATCAGGAGGATCCGTTACAGCGGCTGAGCACCCACCGGAGTAGGGCCCAGCTCTCCAGAAGGCTGTGAGCAGCAACATGGCTGCGAGGCTGCTGCTCTCTATGACAAACAATTGCCACACTTGAGCACGAGGGCGGCACGATTCGGCTACCAGCAGCCACGGCAGGCTGTTGGCAACGGGTCCACGAGGTTTGGAAAGGACTGCGTGACAGCAACCTTCCCGACAAAAAAACCGTTGCGCTTCCTGTAAAATAACAAACGGTACTCCCCCGAATGAAATATCTCTGCAATAAAACGTCAACGCGCGAAGGCGGCGCGTGAGTTAAAGCGCCAGCGTGCGCTTGCGGGTAACGGCTCGGCGCACCTTGCTCTTTGCTGTACGTCATCATGAGGCAGAAGTTGGGCGCCAGGCCACAGACGACGCGTGTCGGCAGGGCCAGCAGCGAGCCGAAGCGCTGGCCGGGGTGCGGCTGGCTGAAGCACACCATGGGGTCCGGGCAGCTCGGGGAGCCCACGTACTCGCCCCAGCGCAGACCCTTGATCCACGGCAACGGAGACTGGGGGTGGGGGGCGCAAGGCATAAACTGAAAACCAGGCCAGGCAGTGAATTTGACTACAACTGTGTTTCATCGTTCGACTGATTGCCGAGTATTTTGTTGCCTCCATGATGAAAATACCTCCCCCCCCCCCCCCCAATCTACGTTTATGAGCTCCGCTATACCGTTGTTATACCATCCTCCTGGTTATAATTTCAATAACTTTAACAGCAATGGCAGTAAGGAATAATCGTTTTTCTGTGAAAACGCTGCATGCAACGATTCACTTTGATGAACTGTCATGATTCAGGGTCGATTCTTATTTTTTACCATCTTGTTTGTATTGTTTGTAATTTGTAGCATTTTGATCGCTGCAGGGTAACATGAGAATATCATTTGTAATTTTGGGGTGATTTTTTTGCATATATCATAAGTGATTCCCACATGGACGTTCGATGCATGTATCGTAAGTACAAATTAAAATCAATGAATCGATGCATCGTTACACATGCCAAGTAAAAAACTCAACTTAGCCCCAGCAATTATGTTCCAGAGAGGCAGAACGCACAATTAGGGTGTGTGTAAAAACGCAAACTCCAGTGTGCGTGAACATCATATAAACACACGTGTACAAGCATAATTGTGATCTGCAATACTGTTCCTAATGCACGGGATCACTTTTCTATTTAGTGACGGGTCATATGAGCGTGATATGGTGGCATCAGTATGCCACATCTAAAGCAATTTCCTGGGGTAAAGAGGTTTGTCTGTATAATTATACAGACACCGATGTCGCACAGCTCACAATGAATGAGGCATCTTAATGCATCGTATATATCGGCTCTCTTTCACATGCAATATGCACACTCAAGTTTGCGCAATGCGATATTTTAATATATGCTCTGGCACTGCAAAGAACATAAAACCTCTATTGGCGTGGCAGCCACACCGTGCACATTAAAACTCGACTCATTCACTTTGCGCAAAAAACTTCATTGGCATCGGTTTTATTGCACACAATAGACACTTCTTGACCCAGCGGTGATTGCATAATGCTTTGCGCATATTCATTTCGTTCAGTGCATTTCTGTGTTAGAAACAAAAAAAGTGGAAGGGTTGATGGTTAGTGGTGGAGACCAACGACAATGGCAGGCCAAGGAGGGAGCACGTGTGCAGGCTCGAGAGGGATTTTTGCACCCCGAGACTGAGAGATGGCCACAAGTGGGGAGGTCTTCACCCAGCATGGAAATTTGTTGGCCGATGATGATTGGCAGACAACTTCGCAGAATTGCCCTGCGATGCGTTTTCGGGTTGTACCGCGTCTCGTTTGGCAAGATGACCGATGGTTTTCTCCATGTCCTGGGAGCTCCTTCAAGCAAATGAACGAAGAAACTGAACAACACGCGGTAACAACCTGAAAACACACCCCCGCAACTTCGTAATTTCAACGAACAAACGACGGAGCATTGAACGGTGTAAAAGAAAATCGAGGCAGGGCGGGGGGGTGGGGAGTCTCACCGGCGCGACGGTTTCCCTCGCGTGATCGCGCGTCTCGCGCGTCTCGCGGAAGGCCAGCTGCACCAGCATGCCCATGGCGGAGGTGATGTCGGCCTCCACGGGCGAGCGCGGCGCTCCGCGCGTGGGATGCTGCGACGAGAAGAGCTGGCGCGGCGTCTGTCCGTACGTCTTGATCATGGTCTCGAGCGCACGGCGTTGCACGGGGTCCTCAACCGCTGACACGTCCATGCCGAAGTAAGTCTGCGGGGGGGGGGGGGCGGGTAGGGCGGTGCACAGTGAATGGGGGGGGGGGGGCACAGAATCGGGAGGGAAAAACCATCGGTCGTTTGTAAGGAAGACGTACGTCGCTGGATCTTTATGGCCGTCGAGTCAATTCAATTTTTGTTTAAATACGCAGTGCCTTTCCAGCGCAAATCTGCCGCTCAAAGCTCATCCATTCTGACAGAGGAAACAAAGGGAACCATCACTGACATATGAGTCAGCAATTATTCAAGTCACAGTGCACAGGTAGGCAAGTGATATGGAAATATCTATGTACTGGGTTTTACTTAACGTTAATTGACCTGTGTAACATCTGACTAAATCTTCTCTGACACTGCTTTCCATTTCCCCTGTATTGAAATGAGCACTTTGTAAGTTAAATTGGTGTGGAATTAGCATTTCTTCTTTGCCACATGGCTGGTATGGAAGAGTAGGTTAGATACCATTTTTTATTTTAACAATGCCCCGAAAGAACTGCAATAATAATGATAAGAATGGTAAGTGATCATTTCAATATTGATTCCCATTAGGAAACATAAAATGTGAATATATCATTAAAGTAATTTATAAGCCATGTTGGCTTTTGTTTAAAAATAGCCGCAGTATTGAATTGCAAATATAATAATGTAATTTGACCGTGTGATTACATTTCATTGTTTGTGTTGATGACATTTGAGAGCCATTTCAGCTGCAAACGCATCTCTACACTCCAGGAGAGCAAAACATCTTATCCGTTTGGGATTTATAAACTGATAATGAATTTAGCAGACTGCATTAAGGTGTTAATTAAAGTTGTGTTGCTTACAGTATCTGCTGTGACTATTATTATTACAAGACTATTTTGTCTGACTTTTTAACAACCGGTGCACTAAATTAAAGTTTTGAGAATGAGTTGGATGAAGTTGTATAAACGTACCCTTAGTCCTATTTCAAGCCTCATTTATATTCACATTATATTAAAATATTAATAACCAAAGACAGAATAAGTACATCGATTCAAGTTATTCAATTAATGAAATACGACGCAGCCTATCTTCACTCTCGAAACATAATCCACAACAGCGGTCATTTTCCACTAAGTGACGATGAAGTCACCACAGCTCTTGTGCCAGGCTAGATGCACCCACGTCAGTCCACGCCAAGTACCAAAGGCTTGCTGTGCTAACCACTGTGCCAACTTGAATTGGTGCGTGTAAGCACACTTGCAGACCAGGTGGCACAAGTGTGTACTCGCACACAACAGCAGCCATTCGCCACTAAGTGGCAGTGATGTCACCAAGGCATTTGTGCCAGGCCAGGTTCACTGTGATGCCACTCACACACACACAAAGACAAAGATCCCCCTATAGCTTGGACAGACTGTTAGGGCAAGTGTTGTTAGCGGGCACCTATGAAGGCTGGCACGGCACACGAGGGGGTGGATGGCCAACACCACGTCCGGCCGCCTTTTGTCTCCCGAGTGGCGATGTTTACACAATCGCACTGGGTACTCATTTGAATCTGAGTCGACCTAGGGGAGGCCCAGGACCGGTTCAGATAATCGTCGCTGGTGTTGGCTGTGGGCGGGATTCGAACTCGGGTAACCGGGTTCGTAGCGCAGTGCGCTAACCGTTGCACTACCGCTCCCCACACACATCTTGAGGCCACTGACACACATGCACACACAAACCTTATTGCTGACAATTTTACAAATGCAAACTAGTGCTTTACAATTTCACCTCCACAACCGCAACCCTCCCAGGGGGAGAAAGCGGGGTCGGAGGGGGGGTCGAGATCGGAATGACGGTGACGGGGACGGGGGACGCACGGCGGGGTGGAAGACGTTGATGGCCTGCACGGCCGCCTTGCCCTTCTGCTTGTGTCCGAAGACGAGGTCGATCCAGTGGCAGAGCGACAGCGACACGTTCTCCGACTCGAGTGCCTGCCGCTGCAGCAGCACGAAGAGACGCGGATCGCCAGCGCGCCCACAGCGGCAGCGTCACGTGGTTCACGCGGTCGCCGTTTTGCCGCAGCCCAAAATCAAATCCTGCTCCCCCGGGGGTGGTGGGGTCGTAAAGTTGGGCCGTGGGAGGGGTGGGGTTGGGAGGGTGGGAGGGAGGGTGGAGGTTTGGTGGGGGGGGGCAGGGAAGGATCAGGAAGGAATAAAAAAAATATATAAAACCGATGCAAAAATTTCAAATGAAGTCAAAGAACTGAAATACAACCAAAAAAAATATTTATATTAAGTTTAGAAGGGAAGAAACAGTGGCTTGTGTTCATTACGAGTGAATAAAGGAGGCATGCACAAAGGGAATTGTTTGCAAGAGGAGGATTAGATCAGCAACAAAGGAGCAGAAAAAAGGATTGGGAGAATAAAGACAGCCTCCTCAGACTTGAACTGTCCATTAAAAATGTACGATCTATTGATATATTGTCAAAACTGGGCAGCATGGTGCAACGAGACAATGTTAAACGAAGAATAACAGTAAGCACGGCTTCCCATTCATTCAAGGTCAGATTCTGTAGAGCTTTAAACAATGGCTCACTTGTCCTGAAACAAAACACGAATTAAGACAGCAAGGCAAACTTTTAATACGCAACGGCCAGTGCAGATTTCTACTCGAAAAAATGCACACATTGCTTCCCGTGACCGATGTCCAGATTTGGAACTGTACAGTGCGTGTGGAGAAGTCGATGATTTTTACTTAATTTTACCAGGTAAGAGCCCCACTGAGCTATATAGCCCTTTTTCAGAAGCGAAATGGCCACAAATGATAGCTCAATGAAATGGCTTATAATGTGGACATTTATGGCAGCCAAATGTATGTATATTGAACTTCTTCCGCACGTAGCCAACCGTGCTAATCGGAGGTGCGGGCGGGGGGAGGAAGGACAACAAACGAAACATAAAAAGAAGTTCGAAAGAAATGAGTTTCCAATCGAGATAATTGAAAAGTGCATAGCTCCAGTGGCTTCCTAATGTCGGATGGAAGAGCGTTCCAGACGGCCGCGGAAGCGCAAATACTCCAAACGGTAAACGGGGGTGTGCGATGGACGGGAGGGAGGCGCATTCTGATTGCGACGGTGGTCCAAGTGCGAGCGAGGATGGGACTCAAGCTCACCTTCGCGGTTGGCCAGGAACTCGGGCAGGTAGAAGAACTCGGGCACCAGCTCCTTGACGTCCGTCGTCGACTCGTAGGACGACAGACGCCACGTGGTCACCATGGAGTGGAACGTGCGGTCGGGAATGTCGAAGCTCTGGTCTGCAGGGTAGTAGTTCATGAAGCACTCTCAATTAAACCCATCCATCAAATCACGTTGTCAAAAAAAAAAAATCTCTTGGATAATAAAACTCTCAACCCTAACCGATCGATCAGGCTCCAACGAGAAGCAACACGGATGGACGTTTTTTTTTGCTTCACTCGGCAGTCTGGGATGAAGAGGACGCCTCAGTGATTTAATGAGCGAGCGCACAGATCACGCAAGATTCGCTTGAGATGAATTCCACATGTGGACAGGGGGGATGCGGCAACAGTTAAATTGAAAGAAAGACCAAATTGGATATAGTGGTGGCCAATAGAGAGATATATATATATATACAAATAAATGCCGTTGACCAAATCACCCAGAATGTGCACAATCTTCGTATGATCTCAGAAGCTAATCAGCATTGAGCCTCGAGAGTGTTTGCTTGGATGGGCAAATGCGATGTACCAACAAAGTATTGCTGGAAATAGACTTTGGGGTTACCTCGTGGACAGTAGCGAAGCTACATCAATTCCTCTCCAGTAGAACCCCTCTTAACGACGGTAATTGGTTCCACGAAACCGGTTATTTAGTGATTTGGTCGTTAAGCGAGTATAGGAAATACAAGTTAAAGGCTGCAATCTTTATGATCGCATCAAAAGTTACCCTTTTCACCCAAAAAAGGTACTTTATAATAACTTGACTTAAGCTTTCGTAATCCATATTCTCACCTGAAGACGATTGCTTGTGTTGCGATCGAAACGTCGTGATATTTTTATTATTTTTCTATGTACGTGGCTTTACCGAAAGACCCATAGAATACTTTATCATCTTTAAATGGATATTAACACATAAAGATAGCAACAACATTATAAACACAACATTAAAAGAAACATGGTTAATCAATGCATTAATTAATATTTACTTTACCTACAACAGCCCATCGTTAACAGGGGAATGGTCGGTAAGTGGAGGCACTACACTACAATACACTACACTATCCACTGGGCTCTATGGAGGCACTACACTATACACTACACATTGGGCTCTATGGAGGCCCGTCGCTAAGCGCTTAGTCGTTGACAGGGGTGGTCGTTAAGAAGGGTTCTACTGCACTGCACGTCCATGCTGCCACATCTACGCTCCCTGCTTTCACTGGACTGCATTGACGAGCGTGGCGATGTAAGGTCAAATAGCCACCACGATCTGCATGGTATGAGGGAGGCCCTCATCCAGTAGTGGATTAGCAATGTACAAGAGCGATATCGCTCATACCTTAAAATTCTCTTGGATATGGACCAAGTCAAAAGCAGACAGATGCACACGTGTTAATCCCTACAAATATCCTCTAAGCATATAGTTCAAAATCATAAAAAAATTTCATTCAGGAGCATAAAAGCTAGGATGAGAATGTAATCCATAGTACATGATTCAATTCAGTGTATGTAGGACGCTATCAGCCCAACATTTTCCTTCACAATCTAAATGCAATTTATTAAACTTTCAAAGCCCTAAGTGAATAATTAAACGCAAGTGAATAGTTCAGTGCATACTCTTTGGGTCTTTCAGTAAAGTCACGTAGATAGAAAAATAATAAAATAAATTAAATAACGACGTTTCGACCGCAACACAAGCAATCGTCTTCAGGTCCAGTGCACATTGAAACACTGTGACGTTATGTACTTTGTCAACACCTGTTCCCGTGGACTTTGGCCCATCACGATCCACTGACGATGCAACATTCACGCAGCGCCTCCTGGATGCTAATAAGTACGAGCGTTTACCCACGGCCTCACAGAGCGCAAGGCGATCAAAGCCATCTCTCATGTGCCCCACGTCGCGTGGCGAGGTTTAACGTGTGACGGCATCGAGCGGAACCCTTCTGTTCACGCTTAACTTTTGCAACCAAATCATAGTTCATGTTCATCATCACGTCCAAGTCGGAAAGGGGTCTGTGCAGGTTGCCGAGCCCATTTAGATACCCGATGGGACAATAAAACACAACGTGGATTTCCATAGCGTCGCAACGTGGCCGCATCTCAACGCGTCAACGGTACGGACAAGGGAAGGGGGTTGCAGGCAACAGGGTCAGCACAGGAGGAAGTGTGACCTTCGACTTAGCGAAGGTTGATCGGGGGCTTCAATAGAAGGCCTTGTGGTTCCTGGAGCGGAGGATGCATGGAAGGGGGGAGTGGAGTGATACGAGAGGGCAGTGGTAGGTGAGCACACTGAGGGGAGTAATCTTTATTGAGATGTAGCATTCGTGTCACGGCTAGGGTAGCGGTGAGCATAGAGTCGGCATGGAGAGAGGCGGCTTCGGAGTAGGCTGCACACTTGCCCTGGTATGCGAGGAACATCTTGGTGAAGGGCGGCAGGCGCACGAGGAAGTGCAGCACCGTGCCGCTGTTGGAGTAGTGCGAGCCGTAGTGGTACGGCTGCACGGGGGGCATGGGGTCGTCTTCCCGTCCACCCTTGCGGTATTCCTCCTCCAGCCACTGCGATCGACGCAGGTGCGAGGCAGAAGAGGCCGGAAGGAGAGAGCACAGTCAAGGCGACGTGAGTGCACTTGCAGGGAAGGTGGAGTCAGACGACACGTAATTTTCACAAAAGGTACGTTCAAGAGAAGGGGGGGGGGGGGTGCCCTGGGACGTCGGATTAGCGTTTGAAGTTTGAGAGGTGAGTTAAACAGATTTGAAAATGGGCTTAAAGCGTGCTAATGGAGTGTGCATCCTGTGCATTTTTATTCACTGTGGTGACATCACCGGAGCACGAATGCGGAATGCCAGAAAGTGACCCTGGAATTTTTATTCCCATTATTGAAGCTTCAGACTCGTGTTGGACAGCGTCAGACAAATGTTAATGATTATAAATATCAGGCAATTGTTCTCACCTTATAATTGTTAATGTACCGGTCCTCTTTTTCCTTACATTGGACAGCTATAGGCTTCACCAGGTTTCTGTTGACAAAAACGATCATTTTAACGCACAGCAAATATACAAATAGTCTGCTGTGCCCAAGGAAGAATAACATTTTTAACCATTGCATATTTGAAGCCAAGACAAATGGATCACCTAGACAGTAATAGAATACCGGCACATGAATTAAACAAAAGCTGAAAAGTTTGAAAAAAACACTAAAAGCATGAAGAGTGAAATAGATTGTGGAATTGCAGGACTTTAAGGAATGGCACTGGCTAGGGGAAGCCTTCATCCAGCAGTTGATAGACCATGGCTGATGATACCAATGACGATGGTCTAGGACAAAGCTTATTCATCAACACTGACAACCACTGATCGCCAGTTGCTTGACAGTATTCAGATGAAGCCTGTCAACAAAAGTGTAGAAATGCAGACTCGCCGATAAATATCGATTTTTCAGCTCTTGACACATGCATTGATTCACATGCCAAACAATCAATGTTTTGATTCATTCATATATGTTCGATGGAATGGGTTCACGTGGCACCTGCAGCCGCCTGTGGCTGCTATATCCACTGCAATGTTTAAATATAATTGATAATTCTCGAGTCAAATCGTGACTTTTGATTCACGATAATTCATCACATCGTCAGGGGAGAAGAATTGTTACACACCTCTGCAATGCAATATATATGCACTATATAACAGTCAAGTAAAACATACATAAAACACGAGCATTTAAACGAGAAAGGAAATCCCAATCCCATTCAATTGAATATGATTCTGAAATATAAAAAATTTACACGAACAGCGTGGACGCTGACAAATCAGCTGCATGAGCTCTCCGGCACGCAGCAAACTCTTGAGCGACACTCCGCTTCCATTCTTAGACCGTCGGCCGACGCCTCTTCCTTGGAGCGTTTGCAGCCCGATCCCCCACTTCACATTCTTTCTAGACGGGTTTGAATCATTGCCCGACAACCCTCGCGCGCAGTTCACATTTCCGCCGGTCGACGCAATCCCGGGCGCACGAGAGACGGCGAGGGGGTCAGAGCCTTTACCGATAGACCTTGGGGTCGGCGAGGTCGAGCGTTTCGCTCGCGTAGTCGCGCAGCACGAAGGGGAACACCGGGTACTGCATGAGGTCGTTGAAGGAGCGGCCCGCGTGCTTGTTGAGGTGCGTCAGGTACTCGAAGTTTGTGATCTGCCCGGCGCACCACAGCTGCGTGAGGGCCGACAGGTTGCCGTACTCGAGCAGGTTGGGGAGATCGGAGCTCAGGATCGTTTGGTAGACCTGGTCGCGCACCTGTGACATGGAATGAGGGACAAGTACTACAGTTAGTTAGTTTTTTTTATCAAAGCACGTAAGTTGCAAAAGGCTCGTCATGGCCAATGCTACCGATGCTGAAAAATCCTAGCAATTGCTTCCTACCCTCTTCTAGATTGCCCAGTCAGTACCCATCTTCCAATGCCTGCTCTTACAGTATCCCGCCATCTTGCCGCTAGGGCTTTCCCCTTGGTCTCTGACCTCTGGGCGCCACTCCAATGCCCGTCTCGGTGACCTCTGCCCTCCCCCACCCTGAGCCACGTCCAACCCATCACAATCTCGTTTTCCAGTTCTAAGTGACCCCCCCCGAGCAACCTGGCCATCACCCAAATTATTTGTGTATCAACACGTGCCGAGTGGACGTCGAATATTTACCCTGCAACCCCCCAATCAATATTCTATTATTATCTAAACGGTGGCCCTCAGTGCAGGTTTGCTCTGCGTGGAGGGGGCACCTTGGTGGAATCAAAGGTGAGCAGGAGAGTTCGACCATTGGTGAGGAAGACCTCCAGGGCGTTGTCACGGAGTTGCCACCAGCGCAGGTGCACCTCCTTGATGTCCTCGTAGGTCCAGGAGAAGGACAGAGCCTCGGCCTCACCCACACAGCTCTGCCCAGCCGATCGAGGGAAGGTCCAATAGAAAGTGTTATATTTATACTTTATTGTGAAAAGAGACAATCACACCTGCAGCCACAGTGTTTGCATGCCTAAGTAGCAGAAGGGAGACTAAGGGGCACAATAGATCAGCTTCACATTTTCATCACTTTTACTCCAATGGACATGATATTGCGAAAGTTTTACGTTTTAAATTTAACTGTTAATCACGTTAAAATATCCACAAATTTGGAAAGGTGTGTACCGGAGTCTCAGTTGCATCTCCAGTGCTGTCCTCCACAAAGTACATTCCAGTCTCTCCTGCAGAGGAACGGAGCCAAGCATTCGCTGAGCCTCACTCACAAAGCGCACAGTCACGACCACGGAATTCCGGGGGGCGTTGTTACATCTCAATCCCACAGTCTTCTTTGTAAAATGGGAGCGTTGTAAATAAGACTAAGATTTGCACTTGTATTGTGCACATCACGTAACAAAATGTCTCACGGTGCAGTTTTTCAAAACCTAGGGGACCTCCTTGATGGCAGCTTGTCCCTGTGCTGCGCGAGATGAACAACTGAAGCCCCCCGTTCCAAAAGTGCCGGCTCACAGGCCAGAGGACCACTCCACGCGTGCCCCATCATATCATCGTGATGCCATGCACGCTTCAGCCCGGCTGGCACTTACCGAGAAGCAGTTCCCCGGGGGTCTCTCTAGAGGGCACCACGCTGATGCACCGCCGAGTAAATCTGGCAGGAAAATTAGGGCAGGATTCACCATGGCAATTATTATTTTTATCAATTAAATAAGTGAAAACCCTGTGAAGACTTTGAAAGGGTCAACTGTGTTATGACATTAATTTTCCATAAAGTTATCTGAAGTCAATTTTCATAATTTCTGATGCGGGCTGTGATAAAGACACACAATGACCTACTCGTTTTTTAATGATGTTACCAAGTATTTAATTGCCACATTTAACCCGATAGCAGTCTGTTAACAAACTGCAGTGCAGCAGCAACAACATCGCCGAGCAGTTCTGAGTTCACTGGCGCAACATCAGGACTGAGTGACAATTACACCAAGCACTCGGCTGTCGGCGATTGTGTTACCCACAATGGAAAAAAAACTCTAAACATTCCTCAATAACACTGTGGCGCCTTAAGAGTAAATATACATGTTACCTTACTTAATAAAAGTTACCCTTTTCCCTTTCCATGGGACCGCGTATGGTTTGGGGCAGCGTGTCCGTTTGCCATCTTTCTATCCCCTGCTTTTCATAACCGGCTTGGCTTGTGTTGACGGTGTGTACACACGTAGGCTTTCGCGACCAATAGCATCCATAATGCAGGTTTTTTTTCGGTTAGATCGTGTAAATATAAATGTGTCGTTAAACCCGCCACCACTCGACACAGCCAATTAGTAAGATATGTCATGTAAATGGCATGTTCAGTTTCCGTGACAAACCTTACTAATTGGCTGTCGGGTGGTGGCGGGTTTAACGACACATTTATATTTACGTAATTTAACCCAAAAATTCCTGTATTATGGGTGTGTACCCGTGCGTCACAACCTGATGTATCGCGCCCGCACATTGCCTTAATAAAAATAAATATTAAAAAGTTAATATATATATGTAATCGATAATGTTTTGGGCAATGGCCCTTCTTGAAAGCGCATAAATAGAGTGGTATTAACAGTTGGAGATTGCACTTTACACTATGGGACCTGATGAGAATTTAATTAAAAAAAATTCTGAAAACTCGTATTGAAATTGGCATGTGAATAGTTACTTAATAGAAGCTATAGAGTAGCATATAAACATTCAATAATCAAAAAGTATGACTAAAAGCTCACGTAAAAAATATGAACAAAATATGTTCATGGAAAATTGCATTATGGGTTGCATGACAGAGGATCACGGTGAAGAGGTCATCACAGCCAATGCCATCGACACCGCTGCTCCTCGCCACGGCTTCCTCTCCCACCACCCCGCACCGTGGCTTATACACCATATGTTTCACAGTGCGGTGTGTGTGATCTCTTCCCAACTTTCTTCTCACCATTCGACAAGGGCATTACACGACTACAATGCAAAGTGGCTTTAAACGCTTCGGCACGTAATCCGACGGGTTCCTACTTGGTGGGCTCGCTCGTTGCCTTGTCCTTGACCGCCGACGAGCCCGATGAGCTGCTCTTGTCATCAAAGAGGAATGACAGCGGCAACTTGATGGCGTCAGCTGTGAGACAGAACAGAGCCATGCCACGCAATTATTACCTGAATGAGTGAAAGCCAAATGAGAATACGAAGAAGGAAAAGTAACGGTGGCGGTTATGAGGGGGAGATTAAGGGGTCGCGGGGTGAGCTCGAGAAAATAAGTGAGTTTTGAGTGCGGAGCGGAAACTAGTGAGCGAAGGGGACTGCTCAATGTAGAGGGGGAAGTTTGTTCCAGTGAAGGGAGGGTGGCAAGAAGAGAAAAAGAGCGAAAGTGTGGATTGAGCACAAGGAGGAAGAGGAGGAACAGAGAGAGACAGCAAAGGTTGAGAACGTAGAGGGCGAGAAGGCGACACACAGAAAGATACAAGCGTGGCAATTAATCCCCAGCCGCACGACGATGACCCTTCACTCACCTTAGAAACTGAAAGGCATTACGACGAACGTTATCGCTTTCGCCAAATTAGTTTATAAATATCTTAAGTGGGGAAACACGCTCGGGATGCGATGTCTTTGTGAAAATTAGTTTGGTGGAGGCTACATTTTACGTAGAGTACAAAGTTAAATAAAAATCAGAGGCAGGGCCAGAGGGCAATAAGGATGAAATTGATCCTCCCCGAAAATAATTAATGAGCACAATAATCTACTCCACAACTTCACACTGACACCAGGTTATTAAAAATCATTAATTTATTGTGAGAAGGATTTACAACTTTCTAGGCTAACTGGCAAGGTTATGCCATTAGTAGGTGGAGGGGGGGGGGGGCAACACCTCAATGTTTCTAATAAGCCAATTGGGTCTATTCAAGGGGGGAGGTGCCGCGGGGAAGGCCATGGGGAGGGCCGTGGGGAGGGCCGCTGAAGCGAGTTCAAGTGGCCGAGCTTCCTTCACAGTCACCTGCGCTGGTCCAGCGGTCCTTGAGCAGGTACTTGTTGGGGATGGTGATGTGGCAGCGCTGCAGCCGGCGTCGTTCGCGGTTGGGGCCCTCGGTGGGGTCCAGTTGCCAGGAGGAGGGACACGCCACGGGATCGAACCACACTGCCCTGTGCGGTGGTAGCGGCGGCAGCGGCGCCACAACACGGGTCACGCACACACGGCAGCACAGGCGTGGGTGTCAAAGCTGGACACCACGAGAGCTCCAGCCGGAGCCTTCCTCATCAATAATTAGCCTGTCTGTTCGTATAGTATTTGTTGTCATTTGTTGACCCAGGCCACCTTTAGAAGATGAGACTTGTTTGCGTTCTTACCTGGTTAAACAAAGGTAACCAATTGCTCGCCGCGACGACTATCATGCAGTAGCTCAGTGATATATGGAATGGTCATGGGTGATCACACTTCATCGACCTGCACTGACCAGCATGGTCAAGTGTGGTCAAATAAATCACAATAATCAATACGGCAAGAGGGAGGCCTTCATCCAGAAGGTGAGCGACAATGGGCTCTAAGTTATTAGTACTTATAATAAGCCCTCTGAAGCGTGTGCTCATAAAACAGATTAATATGCACAACGGATTTGTGTGTAAATTATTCATGCTAGTAAATATATTAATGGCGAGTAAGATGTTTTAAAAGTGATCGTAAATGCTGCACTAAGTACCACGATTATTAGGCATATAAAGATGTATTGATTCATCATATAAATAATTTCTATCCCTAGAGAGAGAGGTTTAACACAGTTTAAAATATTTAAAAGGAGCAGTTATGAATTTGCAAATGTTTTATGTATTCTAGTGGGGTCCGATCCCACATGCCCCTTATGCAAAGTCGCCATTGTAACAACATACATTGCAAGGTGATTACATCCAAATCCCAATCCTTGGTATTCAAAAGATCATTGAGGAGGGCACACTGATGAGACAACACGGAAGAAGGCACCATCGTCGTCACCTCTCGTGCGTGAGCTGGCGGAAGAGCGTTTGCCAGCAGCGCTGAGCACTGAGCTCCGCCTTGTAGGCCTCGCGGATGTGAGCGATCACCTTCTTGCGCTCCAAGCCCTGCCTTCCGGCCACGCGCTGCGTCACCTCCGCCGCCACGCGCGACACAGACCTCGCGCGGGTCTCGATGCGTCCCAGCAGCCTGAGTACACACCGCGGGGAGACAGCTGTCAAGATGGTCGTTCTCCTCCCGCCAATCCGAGACCTTGCAGTGACATGTGAATTTTTTGGGGATTTTTGTGAGGTGCTAGAAAGAGACGTGGCTTCGAGACGTACGCCTGCCCGTTGGTCGTCATGCGGCGCACCCAAGCCTCTCGGTTCGACTCCTCCTCCTTCTGAAACTTTTCGCGCTCCTGCAATGGAGAATCGCTCCGTCAGGCGATATTCATCAATGTGATGGTTCGCCTCGCATTAAACGTTAACCCGTATTGCAATGGAATAACTACATTTGTGAATCTAATCACCCTGAATGTACCTGATCTTGTGCCAAGCTTGGTTAATGCTTGGTTGGGAGACTGCCTGGCAATAGCAGAGGTGTTGTCCGCTGGGGCTGCGAGGTGGCCAGGAGATGGCAGCAGAGCAACAATTTGAATCCAACTGTGCAAAGCTTTGAGCTTCGTGGGGGTTATCCCAGAGCACTATCGCTTTCTTCCACATGCCAAACATCCCAATACATGAATACCGTCCTTAAAACAAGAAAAGAGTCACAAAGCTCGGTGAGACTTTCCTGATTAAATCAAGGGCATTATTACAAGTTAATCAAATTCCACTAGTTATTGCCTGTACATCCAAAACAAAAGCCAATTTGTAGAAATCACACCAATAGCCTAACCCTCAATGATGAGCTGCAGAGAGGCTGCGCTGGACCTGAGATAGAATTGAAAGTAGGCCACCCCCAGGCATCTCCTTGAACACATCAGGCATCTCATATCAAACAAAAAAACTGCGTTCAATTGCAAATCAGCATAGTCAATATTTACCCGTGGAGCGTGCCTGCAATGTCAGCAATACAATGAAATATTCCGTGCAATCAGAAGGGCCATCATCACAAATCATGATTTACAGCCCTTGGTCAATCCACTGATCGGTGAAGGCCACCTGTATGCGAGGGTCGTTTGATCATAGTTCACCCTGCAAAAGATCAATAAACGTTGGTGAAGGGTAGGGGGGGCCCAGGCCTAATTCAGGTAGCACTCGCCACTGTGATTATTAGCCACGACTTGGGACTGACCTCAGGTTGGCCTGTTTCACAGCGCAGTGCGCTGACCACTGTGTCACAGCTGCCCAGGTGAGGTACAATTAAATCAATCAAAAACATCTTTTGAAAATTTTGACTTAAAACTTTAGTGACTGTAGGAATCATATTCTTGGTTCTTTCAGTAAAGTCACGTAGATAGAAAATAAAACATATTTTTTATTTAAATTTTAATTAAATTTTCTAGCTAAGTGACTTCACCGAAAGAACCAAGAATATCTTTTGAAACTGTAATCGATAAGATTGCCCTTCATCGTTAGAATATCCCATGGTAAAATAACAATGATTTAATTCTATTTCTGTATATATTTTTTATACTGCAGAGGTGGCGGCCCCATCGGTGGCTCACCTCGCGCACGGCCTCGACCACGTCGGCCTTGGGCGGCGCTCCGGGCGGCACGCTCTTGTACCCGCACTGCCGCAGCAGGTTGAGCAGCACCTCGGCCGCTCGCTGCTCCTTGCGTCCCAGTGTACGCCCCTCCCGCCCCTGCTCCCGCAGCAGCTCGGACACGTAGAGCGCCAGCTTGGGCCCGTGCTGGTCGCCACAGGAACACACACGGGAGCCAAGTTCACAATTGAAACGAATTATTTGCCGCCAGCGGTGCATGAGCACAGATAACAAAAAAACGCAAAACTCAACGCATTCGTAAATTACACTATGGGGTCTACCACCTGACCGTGAGGGAACTTTATAGCCATAGGAAGAGGAGAAAATTAAGGAATTCAGTTGGGACTTGGAAAGGGTCTGAGTAGTACGGATGACCAGGAGAAGGAGCGATCTCCGACAGAATGGCCATCCCCATGAATGTGAGGCCTGTGCCGTCTCTTCAATGAAATTCAGTTTAAATGTAAAATGCAGCAGCCGTGAGAGTAATTGCTTGAAAATTACAGTTATTATTTGCGGTGCGATTGATATGACAGTGTAGGCTATAAACTTAGTGTTTATTTTCGCTGTCACCACGAACATAATTTTACCTTCAATTTGAGCCAGATGTAGAACTGCATTGCTAACAACCATATTCGTATAGTTGTAGCATTGCACCAAATCATGTAGCAAGTACATCCAGTCGAAATTCAACATATTTAAAGTGACATTTTTAACTGCCCCATCGAAGCCTAAATATACCCACAGTGGCATTTCTGGAGGCACATCAAGGCCAACTGTTATCATTGGATTCGTAGTTTTCAAACTCACTCACGCATGCATGCGTGCGTGCGTGCGTGAGTGCGTGCGCGAACCCGTGCCTGCGGCGGGCTGCTGAGCGTCTCGCGCAGAATCTCCTTGCAGTTGGGCTCCGCCACAACCTCCAGGCCAAGGCGGCGCTCGGCGGGGGACCGCAGCGGTGACAGCACGTGCACCAGCAGGCGGCCGAGCTGCGCGCGGAACGTCTCGCGACACGCCCAGAGGATGCGCCGCCACTGCTGTCGCGGAGCGTTGCTCTTCCCGCACTCCTGCTCGCCGAGCAACGGAGGACCCGGCGGGGGAGAGGGGGGGGGGAAATGGCCCACGGCTGTGAGCACATCTTTGTCCACGTAATCAACTCTCAATCATACAGGTCAGGCCTGAGCACGCATTAAAACAAGAATACAGATAATGCAAAAAACATTTGAATTAGGCAATGAGGGCGAAGAGATAGAACGTGTCACGTGTCATTTTCAAGAATTGCGTGGGGTCATGTGGGTGCCGAGTCACTGACCGTCGATGAGTGAGAAGCAGCTAATAAATTGGAAGCTGGATATATGCACACATTGTGAGCATAGTTCTGATGCAAGCAACACATCCTTACATAATCCTTGTGGGAGGAGGCCAATGGCAACTTCTCATACAAGCACAATTCAGATATAAGCCTAGTTGGCCTTGTTCCCAAGGGGTGTCCTTATTTCAAGCTTCTACTGTAATTAAGCCAGCTTGCATGTAAAGATATTTCATTCATATTCCCCCAAGCACGGTTAACCCGCCCACGGATAATGGAAAGTTAATGGTCTTGTCAATGAGCACCTGGATTCATGGCCTATTGAGCCACCTTTCGGGAGGCAGGGTGGGCGTTTCGTGCTGTTTTCCTTGTTCGTGTTAAGTAGCTTGAATTCCCATAGAGCATGGATGCTTGATGAGCTGCACCGACTAATGGTGATAATCGTGGCACATGCAAGCAACTGAGGATTCAGCGGTGAAGGGCACCGATTCTCTTCCGTGTGGACCAAATTTTATAAAAATAAACTTGGCAACGTGCGTTAGAAGTCGAGCATTCTGCCAGGCAAATTCGCCACAGGAGGCATACATGTAAGACAAGCAGCCTCTGTGAAGACAGAGCACTGTTTATTTTGTTGGCCATCGTATAGCTAATGGTGGCATAAATTTACTTTTCAAATAAAAATGAAAAACTAACTGTGCTTTCAGCTGGGTGTCACGTTGACGTCAAATATTTAATGTGGCATGAATCACCACTCACATATTATGCACAGCACTCAAACAAAGATCTAATATTTTTCCAACAAATCACCCGTCAGCTTAATAGGGTTGACCATATCTGGCAGCTGAAAAAAAAAATTTGTTCTAGAAATGAGTGATGCATTTCAAACTGAAAACGCGCAGGTATGTATGCAGGCAACTGGACATACGGACAGGTTTGTTCGTATCTCTGAGAGTTCACAAGTTCAATTTTGATAAGTAGAGGAGTCCCTGTACTCAACTGCCGTCACTGACAGAGTGATGGACAAATTAAGTTCCTTGTGTTTCAATATACAGTAATCTACATTAATCCATTATTACGGAAACATTACTAAGATGTCTGTCAAGTGTTAGAGATGCAGAATTATGAAATGCTTGTAAAATTATGAAATCGCAATCAATGACCAGTGAGTAAACAGCTGCAGAACTTAGTTTTATGACTCCACACATATATAAGATGTTTAGCCCATTGGCCTGTTGCTTTTCACACCAGTATTATCCTGGAACATTTGATTAAGCAAGCAAACTACTGGAGTGGTTTCAAGCTTTTAGTTCTCATCAACAACAAATACTGCCGGGTTACCAGCTGTTATTGGCAAGAGTACTCCATCTAAACTTTGGGGCTATATATATATGATTTTACCCATAAGGCACCACAACAATACATGAGTTTGTAACAAGTGAGGAGAAAATCGTATAAACTAAATAACCGCGACCATATAAGGTGGCAGCTGCCAGCTTGTGGGTAATATGCAGTACTGCAAATCTTCGACCCCCTCCCACGCATCTCCATGACTCACGACTGCGATCTTGAGACCATCGAGCATCATGTGGAAGATCTGTCGCTGGAAGGCCAGGCGCGTGCTGACAGCCATGGGCCACTCCGCCCTGTCCTCTTCGTCCGACAAGGGGGAGCCGCAGTGTATCGAAGGCGGCTGACCAGCTGACGGGGTCATGGGGAGGTCGGCTGAACTCCACCTCATCGTGAACGGGGTCTGTGAAGGTCAAGATTATTCCCGACTTACACTTAACGGCATATCCAGCAGCAGCAAATTAAATAAAAATGTTGGCCATTAAAGTGTTTTTTTTCTTTTCAAGAGGACTATATGCCGATGTTTAGTCCTTATAATTTAGGCATATTATAATGATAGGAGGCTTTGGTGGAGGACTTCTCCGGGAAGGTGATTGATGATACCGTTGATTAATTGTGGCAGACAACGATTACTGTTTAGCTTGCTCCACATAGCTCCCCACTCTCTTTCACGTTACCAGGACGCAACATATTACGAAATATTCACACACAGCCGAAACGATTTTATTTCCAATCATATATGTTCGCCTGTTAAGACAGACTATGTTGTTTTTAATCATTCATATTTCATTAAGCTGTGGCATACTGCACAATAAACCCAGTGGCCTCAACAAACTCTGGGCCCCCACTACCCCCACCCCCCACCTCCGTGAGTTTCCCTCCTCTAATCGTACGGGCAGAGCCACCCTTAGGGTACAGCGCATCGGGTGACCTCCCCAGGCCCTGCGCTTTGGGGGGCCCCGTGCTTCGACGTCATGCGTGTATGTATATATGCATGTCGAGCTTCTTTCGCAACGTACGTAGCCAACCGTGCTAATAGTTTAGTTGGACAGTATTGTCGGGGGGCCCACAGTGTGGCATTATTAGTCCTGGGCCCCCGCACCCCCCCCCCCCCCTCCCCATGGACGAGTACGGGATGGGACACCCGACCTTGGAAGAGGATGCGGTTGACGGCCATGACGGTGACGCGCTGCAGGCGCTGGATGAGCTCGGCCTCGGGCGCGCGCAGGGAGTTGTCCTGGCTCATGCGGCGCTGCACGAGGCGCGACAGCTCGTCGCTCGCCACGCTGCGCATGCGCATCAGCAGCAGCGTGTCCGACTGCGGCGCCATCGACGCTCCGGCGCCTGTCGTGCAGGCGCATGAACAGAAACGATTTATTATCTGAAAACTATTCAAGTTTGCTAACTTTGTGTTGTCCGTCAAAATCAATTTCCATGCAACATCTGTTCAGGCCCTATCCCTCTGCACTGTTTGCTTCCAGCTCATCAATGGTTAATTAGTGAACATGCTAAAATAAACAAATATTAGCATATTTGTGTGAATAAATTCAATTGGCAGCCATTTTCAAATGCCAGACGCCGGCTACTCGAGGCGGACATTACTTAGACGGCACAGCTCGACAGGCGGCCGATGCGGAAAGGCTTGACCCACCCGCGTCATGTCCCAGGGTGCACAGCAGCGAGGCGTCGGGCCGGCCGAGCGGAGGCGACCCCGTAGGGAAGGCAAAGGGGGCGAGGCGCTGCCGGGGTTGCCGCGGTATGATGGAATCTCGCACCACCGAGGTTCCTACCCCACCACAAACCGACCGAGTAGGCAAAACATTCAATGGTGTCGTGCCATCCAACCAGGCCGTAATTTGAATATACAAGCATCCATCCTCTATGAGAAACTGAAAAACTGACATTTCGATTTAAAGCTTTCGTGACTGCAGGGATTCATCTTGTTGGTTCTTTCGGTAAAGTCACGTAGAAGGGAAGTAATAAAATAATAAAAATAAAACATAATAAAACAATTCTCACGACGTTTCGGCCACAACGCAAGCAGCCGTCCTCAGGTGAAAACCAGGTCTGTCGAGGCGACAGCGTCTACCCTCACTGGGCAGACTATACTCGTCTGTGCAAAATAGCGCCTTCGTGATACCCACGCGCGACAAAAACGGCGCGAAAACTATAAACATAAATGTGTCGTCAAACCCGCCACCACCCGACACAGCCAATTAGTAAGGTTTGTCACGTAAACAAAACATGCCAATTAGTTATTATTACAGCACACGGGTGTGTTGGAGAGTAAACCCACAACATTTACAATTCGAGGACGACATTTCAACGGTAATTACAACCGGCGATATAACCAAAAACGTTGGTCGCGAAAGCCTACTCGTTAAACCGAATACCATATACGCGGCGCCGCATTAACATCTTCGGCATTAAAACACCGAGCCCTTTTCGCTTCACGCGATGCATAGCTGGGTGCCGATCGCCCACCTGCGATGCTGCGGCGCTTCTGCTGCAGCGCGTGGTGGGGAGCGCTGGGGAGCACGAAGGAGCTGGTCATGCCCTGGCTCTCGGTGTCGGCGACGGAGCGAACCAGGTCCACGGCCGCCTGCAGAACCCTGAACTGCAGCGCCACAGCCACGCCTAAGGGGGGAGGAGGTGGTTAATGACCCCAAGTTGGCGATGTTAAACCAACTAAAACTAAACAGGCCCACTATACACAGCTCTTTTTCAAAAGTGACCTGGCCACAAATGATAGCTCAACAAAGTGACTTATCATGTGGAAATGTATTGCAGTCAAATACTCGAAACGCATGTTATGTTATGACCTCCACTGATCATTTTACGATTTTGTTTTCACATCACGGGAGCTGTAAGGGAGTTCCGCGAAGAGGATATTTGGCCTACTCTTCCACGCTGACCAGACGTCTTGGAATAGGTGGTAATAGTGAACACTTTAACCAAATGCACAACAACCTGCCCAGGATCGGTTCAGAGGCAGGGGGGGCATTGAAGAAGCGTGCCCCATTGTTTCAACTGCCGTACCGGGAGATCGAGTCGAGCTGGCAACCTCTGGATTGCAAGTCCAGTGTGCGCTGCTAACCATTACGCAAAAGCATGAGTCCATCACTCCATTGCAAATATTCCTATGTGGACAGGATTGACATACATTTTCCACCGACCACGACATCATCACAGCCCTTGTGCTCGGCGCACTGATAGGCAGACATACACACACACACAGAGAAAGACAAAGAGCCCCCATATAGCCTGAACTTTTAGGGCAAGTGCTGTTAGTAAGCACCTATGAAGGCGAGTACAGCACAGGAGGAAGTGGGTGGTCAGCACCAAGCACAGATGCCCTCCTCTCCCCAGTGGCGATGTTTACACATCGTACCAGGGACTCATTTGAGGCCGAGTCGACTGAGGGGAGGCCCAGAACCCGTTCAGTTTATTGTCACTTTTGTTGGCCGTGAGAGGGAATCGAACTCGGGTCACTGGGTTCGTCGCACACTGTGCTAAGCGCTACACTACCACTCTCCCCACACACAGAAGAGACAAAACAACCACAAACACACACGCAGTCAAAGAGACAAAAACAACAACGGCTGTCACTCACCACTATTCTATTCTTGCGTGTGGCAATATGTTTCTGGCGCTAAATGCCAATGGCAAGGTCTGCTAGCCACGACAGGGCTCCAGGAGAGAGTTCATGTAATTTTGCTATGTATCCACTGAAAGAATGCAGTGGCATGCTATGTGGTCCATAGTGTGAGTTGCATGGTCACAATTCACCACTTAGGGGTGGTGATTTCACCACGTTTGTGCCAGGCCAGATGCACTTTATGCTATGTCAAGTGTCAGAGGCTCCCTGACATGAGGCCACGGAAACAGACCCAGGTACTGTAGGTGTGTCATATAAGACACGGATCATCCATTCTTCTTCTTCTTTCGTATGGCTAATGTAGATGCAGAGCAACAACTACAATTTCACATTCAGTTCGTCAAGCCAGGAGCAGCGGAGTTGTGTATTGCTGCGATGTCTCCTTCGTATTTGTGGATCGAACATTGTATTGTTGGAGGTTGTACGGTCTGTTCTGGATGGCCACAGTTACACACTGGAGAGTTTTTAAATTTTCAATTTGGAGTGGAAAAATATGGCAGCGAGAAATCACGACGAATGCCGTCAATGCGGCGACCGAACATCGATCATCGATCTCCCCGTCTCCAGGGCAACAACAACACACCATCCATTTACACGCAGACAAAGATCCCCGGTATAGACTAAACAAACTGTTGGGGCAAGCGCTGTTAGCGAGCACTGATGAAGGCCGGCACGGCGCACGAGGGGGTGGGTGGCCAGAATCACATCCGGTGGCCTTTGTCTCCCAAGTAGCGGTGTATTTATACCACACCAGGTACTCATTTGAGGCTGAGCCGACCTAGTAGAGGCCCAGGACCAATTCAGATAATCGTCACTAGTGATGACCATGAGTGAGAATCGAACTCGGGTCGTCGGGTTCACAGTGCGCCGCGCTAACCGCTACACTACTGCTTCCCGCACACACACGCACACACACACACATGCATGCATACGCGACTATGATGCCGGCGAGGTGGCGAGGCAGGTGCGCGCATCTCACCCTGGGTGCGTGGGTTGGCTGAGCCCTGCAGGCAGTTGAGCAGCACCACCAGGTCGTCGAGGAGGCGCAGGTACTGGCCTCCGCCCGTGCTGCACGCGTGGATCGTGGCCGCCACGAGCAGCTGCTGCACAGTCTCCCAGGAGCAGGCGGCACTCCCACTGCGCCAGGCTGCGCCAACGGAGACAGCGGGCGGGCGGTTCGTTCGACGCTGCCCGCATCGGTGGCGTCGCGTGGCTGCAATGGGCCCTGTGTGGCCTCCTGTCTAATGTCCCTCCATGTTTATAGCCCAGTGGAGTGGATATGCGCCTATTATATTTCGATTTAAAGCTTTCGTGACTGCAGGGATTCATCTTCTTGATTCTTTCGGTAAAGTCACGTAGAAGGAAATAATTAAAAAAATTAAAATAAAACATAATAAAATCATTCTCACGACGTTTCGGCCACAACGCAAGCAGCCGTCCTCAGGTGAAGAACAGGTCTGTCGGAAAGACAGCGTCTGAATGACACGTCGTATGACGCTGTCTTTCCGACAGACCTGTTCCTCACCTGAGGACGGCTGCTTGCGTTGTGGCCAAAACGTCGTGAGAATTATTTAATTATGTTTTATTTTGTATTACTTTATTATTTCCCTTCTTACGTGACTTTACCGAAAGAACCAAGAAGATGTGCCTATTAGTTCGTTAGACTATTAACGACGAAGGGTGGGGGGTGCGACCGCATGGGACACCGCTCCCTACCCGCCCTCGGCGATGCCCGTGAGCAGCGCCACGATGTTGCAGAGCGTGGAGAGGAGGCCGCTGTCCAGCAGCACGTCGGCCAGGCGCGTGCACGCCCCGAAGAGCTGCAGCAGGGCGCACAGCAGGTTGTGCGCGAGCGGCGTGTCGTGCAGGGAGCTCTCGGCCAGCGCCAGCAGGGGCACCCCCCAGCGGCGCTGGAACGACGGGCACTCGCGCACCGCCTGCAGCTCCAGCCTGGTGACACACGGCGGCGGCGGCAGGCGCCACTTTGAGTTTCACTTCGCAACCCCCCTCCCCCAATGATTATCTTATTTGCCTGTGGAGTCACGTGACGTCATACGACGTGTCATTATTTCACGCCGTGCTTTTTGTGTTGAGTCTGTTGTCCTTCCCCCCCCACGCTACACCTTCGATTAGCACGGTTGGCTACGTATGGTGCGAAAGAAGTTCAACATACACACATACAAAAGTCTCCCATCTCCCACTCTCGTCTCCAGGAATCCCATCTCTCTCCGTTTCTTCTCGGTTTTGTCGTCTCACGAATCGCTGTGCGTCTCGGCGAGCCGTACCTCTTGGTCAGGAGATAGCTCGGCGGGCTGCTCCGAGAGCCGTCGCGGGTCATCGGATCGCTTCGCTACTTAAACGATGTTTTGACAAATAAATACCTGCCCCAATCGTGCGATGCAGCAGCAAACAAGCTGTCCACTGCTGCAGTCAGGATGAACTCTTTGCGAGACAGAGAGATTGTCGTACTCCTGCCGATTAGTCTTTTGGCTGCCTAACACACGAGTAACAATTTCAAGTGCTGTGGGTCTATGAAACTATTAGACGTGCAAACCATTTGTCTCTCCTCAATTCGGTGTCGTGGTTCAAACCCACGCTTCCGTGTTTTTGTTGTCGCTATTGTGGTGCATGTAATTCGCTTTGCACAACGACAAAAGAACAAAGGTAAAGAGCCTCCGTATAGTCTTAACATATTTTGGGGCAAGTGCTGTTAGTGAGCACCTATGAAGGCCGACACAGCGCACGAGGGGGTGGGTGGCCAGCACCACGCCCGGTCGCCTTTGTCTCTCCAATGGCGATGTTTACACACCGCACCAGGTACTCGTTTGAGGCCGAGTCGACCTAGGGAAGGCCCAGGACCGGTTCAGATAATTGTCACCAGTGTTGACCGTGAGCGGGAATCGAACTCGGGTCGCCGGGTTCGCAGCGCGTGGCGCGCTGACAGCTGCATGGCCGCCCCCCACCGCACCGCAGACGGATAAGCGATGAATTAGACGAGCGTCGTCATCGTCATCCGCACGTACTCTTCGTCGAGAGCGGAGGGGCAGGCAAGAAGCATGGAGAGGAGCGCCTCGGCGAGGCCGTGCGTGGCCGCCCGCTGGTGCAGCTGGTTGGCCAGCAGGTAGAGGCCGTGCATCTTCACGAACGCCGCCTTCTGATCGTCCTGAGACGCGCTGGAAATAAACGTCCAGCAGCTGCGCCGACGGGCACACCAAAGAGTGGGAGAACGCGTCATTGTTGTTGTTGTTTTTGTTGTTACGGACGTCAAGCGGCAGGTGTGCGAATGTTTGTCCCGGGTGTGCGCTTTTGGAATCTCCCGTCTCTTAAAAGCGCAGCACTGGGTGAAGGATTGAACTTCACGTACACGTATAGCCCTTATTGTCAATCCACCACGGGATGGGGGGCCCTCCCACGCCACGCGCACTGTGGAGGTTGTTTCACCATACTTCACCACACTGGTCAGTGTGGGTTTGTAAAGGTGGGGAGTGCACATGTAGGAGCGTAGAAGTATGGTTCGAAAATTGATTATGCTGCCATAATAGAGGTTTTTGGGTTAGATCGCGTAAATATATAAATGTGTCCGTTAAAACCCGCCAACACCCGACACGTAACAAAACATGCCAATTCGTCACTCGTGCAGCACACCGGTGTGTTGGAGAGCTTGGCTCTATTATGGATGATATTGGTCGCAAAAGCCTACGTGTTAAACTGATTATGCTGCACTGCCCTTTGCTGACCACCACGTAGCCACCTTTACAGCAAGCAGGTGAATGTGCATGACTGCACACGAACCTGCCTACTCTAAACACTGCTTTATGGCATGCTTTTACAGTTATTTTCAACTTTTTTTTGTTATTTGTTTTGACTGGCATGTTTATTGCAACTTCAAAGCCCAACGCCTCGCATCGCATGAGCGTGTGCATGAGCGTGTACAACGAGAGGATTATTTACGAGCGCTCGCATTTTATTTTCGGACGATGCGCATTCGTTTCACAGACTCTGCGTCGCCCGGCAAAAAAATAAAAAAAAAGGTCCCGTCGACGATAAAAAACAAACACGCAGCGAGAATGCATTTTTGAAAGCGGGAGGTAAAAAATCCCGGCGAATCGAGAGCGTGACCCCGACCGTGCGTGTTCGGCCTCCGCGAGCACGAGCCGTCAGTCACCTTGACGACGGCGAGGCGCTGCAGGGGCGAGCGGTGATTGGCCAGCACGAGCAGCGTCTCGGCCGTGAGCAGCTGCTCGGTGACGAGCGGCAGCATGGAGTCGGGCAGGTTGAGCAGCACTCCCTGCAGCAGGTGGTAGAGGCCGCAGCACACCAGCATCAGCCCGTCCTCCGGGACAGAACTGATCGGGGGCAGCAGGGGGAGGCAGGGACGTCGCCTGGCGTTAGAACGCGCCGAGGGCACACGCGCTCCGGGGCTTTTTGCGTGCACGCGTGTAAGAGTAAGCGTGACGCGTGTAAGAATAAGCATGTCAGAGGCATGGAGTTCCTCTTGACGATACTTTATCGCGCACCGGCACGACACAGCGAGGCCTTTATCTAGCAGTGGATTGACAAAAGGATTATATTATGTGCCGATTCAGATTTATTCACTCCATTAGCATAATCTGTGCATATATTTTGCATGCGTTAAAGAAGAAAATTATAAATGTATTGTTGCATGCAGCACAAAAGATGTGTAACAAGAAGAAGACCGGAATCCAGATGTTGGCATTGGAAGCCGAGCATTGCCTGCGGAGCTGTGGAGGAAAAGTGTTGGAAGCGATGGAAAGATTTGGTGCCATCAATGGCATTGGTTGACATGACCTCTTGTTTGTTGAATATAAAAAGACAGAGCCCCTATTCAGACTAAACGACTCTCAAGGCCAGTGCTATTAACTGACGACACCATACGTTTAAAACACGATACAAAAAGGTAGAAAACGCACACATATCCACTGATGAATTATGTAACAAATCACCTGTCAACATTCCCTGAAAGAGAGTATTGTGGTCTTCTTGTCTTACATCAGCATCTCAATTAATGTAAGAAAATGTGACGAACTAACCGCGGCAGTGATGCAGTTTGAATCTCATGGTTTTCCAGCCTGCACTTGTATTGCTATGATGGGTTTTTCTTGTCATTTACAAAGTTGACTGATGACACAACATAATTATTGTTCACATCACAATTAGTACCAAATCGTGAATCATAAAAAAATATTTATTTAATAACCCTTTATTGACTAAGTGCTTTGTTGGGAAAAAAAAATCACCCCGTATGTTTATTTTTAGGGAAAGGCTATCAATTTTTTGGCAAGTAGCAAACACGGAAAATGACAAAGCGCACATCACTGGAGCCGGTCCCAAAAATAAATAATTCCCGCTGGAAATTACGATAATTTTGTACAAAAGAAATTCCCTTCCATGTGCTCTCACAGCTATCGCAATGCTACACTTGAGGTAAAAATCATAACGAACTTACTTAACGAGAGGACTACAATGTGAAAAACAAATATGGCTGTTCTTGGTTCTTTCGGTAAAGTCACGTAGAAGGGAAATAATAAAATAATAAAACAATTAAATTCTCACGACGTTTCGATTGCAACACAAGCAATCATCATCAGGTGTGAAAACCACAGCAAGAAAATTTGAAACGTCGTGAGAATTTTATTCTTTAGATTTTATTATTTTATTATTTCCCTTCTACGTGACTTTACCGAAAGAACCAAGAATATGAATCCCTGCAGTCACGAAAGCTTTAAATCGAAAAATCTAGCTGTGTTACTTTACCGAAAATGTCATGAAGCGAAATGAAAAGGAACGCAATAAATATAATGCAAGAACCCTCGCTACATTTTAAATGCTTATTTAGTAAAAAAAAAACTCCAGGGATGCTGATGCAGTGACTCATATAATACAAGGAATAATAATTCACATCCCTTTGTCAAATTACTGCTGCATTAAGGCCTTTCCACAACACATAGGCCACAGCTGTTGTTTGACCAACAAGTAAAAAAGACATAATTAACACTAAAAATGAGATTGCGAACATGAGACCAAAAATAGTAAAACAATTCTCGAAATGAATCGTGACCCAAAAGAACAATAACCGCCAATTGTGACGTCGACAATTTATAAAGCTGTGCTGCGACTTGAGCTCACCAGTGTTGCATTGGGCTGCCCAAACTCAAGGTGCTCCCAGAGGCCGTGGTGGCGCCGGACACTGTATCCCACTCGCCCAGCGACGTCGACGATTTCCACACGCCCTTGCTGCTGCCCAGCCCCGCGCCACTCCCAGGGAAAGCGAGTCCCAGGTCCCAGTGCCTGCTCATCATCCTCTGCAGCCGGGGCACGCGGCCACCGTCGGAGACCGTCTGCTCCCCCATCCCCTCCTGCTCGGACGGGCCCCCGCTGCTCTCGTCCACGGTGCCCTCTGCAGAAAACTCGTTTGTGTTGGAGCGGCGAAACACGCGCGCGTCGGGCGCCGGGACCGCGGCCTCGCCGACGGGTTGGTGCTCATGCCGACTTCTTTGTTGCGCCGCCGCAAAAGCGTCCGCCGTGGCCAACGACCCGCGGACGTGTTCGCTCACGTTGCTGCTGCTGCTGCTGCTCGGGCTGAGGCTGCTTTCGGTGTCCTGCGACCCGACGGCCAACGCCACACTTGCGTTTTAAAATCTCGGAATGGCATTCACGGCCGGCCGAGATTCCTACGGTTGCGCAGTTGTCAAGCCCGGTAACTGCCGGGCCGGCACTTTGATCCACGCCGGCTGCGCCGCAGGCCGCCTTCACGCAATCTCGGTCTGGCAAGTTTTCTTCCACGGTGCCGCGGAGCCCGGCTCGATCGCTTGGTAAGCCGGCATCGCCGCCGCGTTCAGTCGTCGGGCCCGGATCGGCGCCGGCCTTTGGGCGTGCCGAGCCGCCTGAGTTCACGATGCTGCCGCTGCCGCCGCTGGCTCGGCGGGCGCGCATCCGTGTGGAGCGGCTCTCTCGGAGGACGGTGGCGCTTGGCGTGTCGGACTCGTGCTCCGAAACTTCGCGGAGTTCGTCCAGGCTTGCCTCGCGCTGGCGCATCGCACGCTGCCTCCGCAGCCTAGGGGAGCCGCCGCCGCCGCCGGATGAGGCCGGCTGGACCCGGCCCACGTCGGGCTGAGCATCCACCAGATCAACAGAGTCTCGCGGAGACCCTGCCAAAGGTGTAAAAGCGTTTCAAGTGTGAAATTGCATCGGCGTTTCACTGAATGCCACCGCACAAAAAAGGAATGGGAAAAGTGGCATCTGTCAGAGGAACGCAAGACATCACTATTGTGCACGTAATGATGCACTGATTCATGTGGATTCCTGAAAGCTCATGAATTTGCAATCAAAATGCTTTTACAAGTCATTGTTGCAACAATATTTAACATTTTTATGAGTTCACGTCAACCGTATAACTACTTGGGGTGCTACTATATATACCACAGGGAATTGAATCACAAACTCCTGATGCACTACAATTCAATCAATTGCAGGGAGGATATGTTGGTGGGTGAATTCCACCCCCCTACCAAATATATTAAGTTTAAAAATCATAAAAAAACAAGCCAAATTTGAATATTTTTAACTCCAACCAGATTGCACATGGCCAACAATTTGTGTGCAAATTTAGAAGAGACCGGCTATGGTGGCAGGAAGAATACACTGAGGCCATTTCTCTGCACCTCGTCCAGAGTTGAGCCATGCTTCACCTCTGCTTGCTGGCGGGACTGTAGCGGGGTGGAAAGGGAAAGTGGTGCCGGGGACTGTGGCTGGGCTCATGATCGGAGTCGAGCTCTGCGCCTGGTCCCTGCGCAGGGCGGAGATTGCCGAGATGCGTTCGTCCAGCGCCCTGCCATCTGCGCGCACGCATTCACACGTTAGCTCCCAACATCACACGCTGTGCCTTGAATATTATGATTAAACTATTTCATGGGACCTCCTTTGCCAGTACCAAAATATGAGAATAGGTTTTCCCCTTTTTTCTGGCAACAAAACAGGTGTTAAGATGTTAAAACACCAAACTGAAACCTTTTGGCGTCCTCTGGTCTAACACCGTTTGAGACTAGGCTCAAAAGAAAGCTGTCTCTGGTGTGGACATCAGTTTCAAAGACAATCCATATATTATCAGAGCATGTTTTTTGTTTGCATTCTGACCACAAGTATTGTGGTTAATGCAGGCATGATTCCTTGTAAAAGGTTTCAGTTTGGTGTTTTAACATCTTAACACCTGTTTTGTTGCCAGAAAAAAGGGGAAACCCTATTCTCATATTAAACTATTGTTTATGTTACCAGGTAAGGCCCACTGAGCTATATAGCTCTATTTCAGAAGCGACCTGGCCACAAATGACGTGTACATTTATTTCAGCCAAATACTCTAAAGGCACGTTTCAAAAATGTGGAGGGAAAAACTAGAGAACCCGGAGAAAAATCCACGCGACTACTGGGAGAACATACAAACTCCAAATATACAACAGGCGTCAGGGTCAGGATCGAAACCCATGACCTCCTGTATACTAGGTGAGGTAGTTAATATCTCAAGCCAGATAATTAAATATTCTTTAGGCATGTTATGATTCAAGCCCTCTCTCCCAATTTCCACGGTTCAATGGCTTGTCAGGGTTGCCAGATAAACACACGAGTTACCGCCCGTCCCGTTTTGCATTGGCCTTGTCGCAAGGCAGGGCTCTCACTGGCTCGCAGCGTAAAGTAGAAGCCGACGCTGGCGTGGCACACGTAGGTGGCGTCCGGCGGGTGCACGGCCAACAGGAAGCGGCACACGGACGCCAGCAGCGCCGCGTCGGGGGGCGAGCCCAGCACCTCGCCGATGATCTTGACAAACGAGTGGCTCACGGCCAGCGGCAGGCTGGCGCTGCCCTCACTCCGGTTCTCCTGCGGCCGCGCGGCGGAGACAAACATCTGTGAAACTACTGAACGTCTGCGAAATAGAGCTTCATAGCTCCTCGGATTCCTCCAGTATAAATCAATATTCTGGTTCTGTTGATAAAACTCGCTCGGGCACAGCATTTAATTATGTATGAACGTTTTGATAATAATATACCGGCTCGCATGAAACGCATGTTTTATTGTAAAATTAGGGACTGATAAAAAATATAATTGGAAACTTGAGTGGGTGCCGCCGAACTTCATGTCTTCTCTTCAAGAAGATGCATGCAAGTGAACTTATTAATGCATTAGAGTGAACTCTTGGTGCCCGCTGGTAATAAGTAAATTGACTCGGTTCAACACTCTCATGCATCACGACCGCTGTGGAGGCCCGCGATGAGACATATGGCTGGTGAGGTTCGAGGGTTTTTTGGTCTCCAAATATGACATTAAAACTACGTGTTTTTTTCTTTCAATAATTCACGCACAAGTTAAACATAATTACTGAGTGCATACAAACATCTCACAACCCCAATTAACTCTGGCACTAAGCCCCAAAGCAAATTCTCTTGACTGAATGCCTGTTTTAGATATATTTCAGCCAAGTGAAAAAAGTAACTATCTAAGTGGGCTTATTTAAACATTTCTTCATGCATAGGATGATACCGCATCTGTTACATGAAGCACAGAAGCCACATTATGTAGGTTTAATATGCTGTTAAAAGTACGATTTGACAATGATGAAAATTTTACGTAGATGAAGGAAAAAAATTGTGAGAATAATGCAGACACAGTAGTGATTTTTCTCTTTCATGCATATGTGAAATTGTTTACGATTTAACAATTGAGCATATTTACACCTTCCACTGTATCCTTCACTGTAAGAAACACTCAACATTATATTTGCATTACTTTGTTTCCACATTGGAATTTGCTGCTTTATATATGTTAATTACAACCCCAGTTCTCGCTTGCAAAACTAATTTTTACACAGTAGAGGAGTACATTGCCCATTGACGCATTTAATTTATTTCACAGCACCTGGCATTAATTCTAGATTTGAAGCTTTCGTGACTGCAAGGATTCATACTCTTTGGTTTTTTCGGTAAAGTCACGTAGGTAAAACAATAAAATTAAATAAATGAAAACAACTAAATTAAATCACGACGGTTCGGAGGCCACAAAAGCCTCCCTCATCAGGTGTAAAAAGGCACAGCAAAATAGCTGTAGCAAGAGTTATTTGTGGTGAGACCGTATAACAATGTCTCACCCCAAATAACTGTCGCTACAGTTATTTGCCGTGCTTTTTTACACCTGATGAGGGAGGCTTGTGTTGCCTGCGAAACGTCGTGATTTAATTGAGTTGTTTTCATTTATTTTATTGTTTTACCTATGAAACTTTACCGAAAAAACCAAAGAGTATAGCACCTGGCATGTGCGATATTGTTGTTCCCAACTCTCGAATTGTCTTATGTATAAATTGCAACGAGGACACAAATGCTTCTGCTCGGCACAGCTGCTGTTGTCACATCTCCAGCCCGCCGCCACGTTTTACGTGCACGCCAGTGGCGATTGTTTGAAGAGGTTGGCCACAAATGATTCATCATGCAATAGGTGCGCTGGGGGGGGAGGGGGGCAAATAGTGCAGTCCCTCCAATGTTCCGGAGCAAAAGCAGATTCAAAGTTTCCCCACTGTTGATCCTGATGAAAAGCCCCATAGACAGACTGAAACCCGAGAGAGGTAATCTTTAGGGGGTTAATGCCCAGCAGCCAGAGCAGACTGGTGGCTATGTGCCACGGGTAAATAATACATGGTCCCAGATAAGTGCCCGATAACCACCTTAAATAAGATCCTTCTCGCGTAACAGTGCTTCAAAAGCAAACTCATTACATCAACAAATGCACTCTGCATTCAATAGATTTGTCCGTCAGTGATTTCCCATCAAGTTAGGTGAATCTACTCTCCCTCGAGATGGGAACTTCAGGGCTCGCTCTAGTAGAGGCCTTTACCCTTTCCAAGTTCATCTTTAAACTATGGCCCACTTCAATCTTGATTTGAAGCTTTCGTGACTGCAGGAATCCATACTCTTTGGTTCTTTCGCTAAAGAACTAAAAAGTATGGCCCACTTGCCAGAGCAATGAGTGTGAACCGAGTGCGATTACCTGCAGAACCTGGCAGGTAAGCAGAAGCTGATCCACCACCCTGGCGCGCAGCAGCTGCTGGATGTTGAACATCTGCGCTGGGTGGTTGGGCCGGATGAGGATCTCTAGGGCAGTGAGGAGGGTCTCCCACACACCAGCCTGCCAGGAGTGGGTGGGTCATCACGTGATAGGTTACTCTTTCATTTAAATATTAAATTTCCACTCTCTCCTCTCCTCCCCATAATTTTATCCCGATTTCCCTATTGCTGATATATGAGACAAATAGTCCAATCGGATCTCTTGCGGAGCGGTATGCACCGCGGACGCGGATGTCACAGAGCTACCTCTGAATCCCTTCAAGTGACCTCTGAATCCCTTCAAGTGACCTCTGAATCCCTTCAAGTGACCTCTGGTCCGCAGAAGGGAGGGCAGCGCTCTCCCCACTTGCTCTACATACGAGAGTAACGCTCACGATAGACCAACCGGTATTTGAGTTATCGGGGCTGGAATTAGGCCAAATGAATTGCGGAGACAAACTGGATGTGACTTTGTTTTTATTGTGTTGCGCCCGAAACGTCGTGATTAAATTTTTTTTTTACCTACGTGACTTTACCGAAAAAACCAAAGAGTATGCGTCTAATTGCTTTCGTCAAGTACTGAGCCCTTATTGACTCGTATCTTTTTGTGAAATGCCGAAAAAACCAAAGAGTACAGCATTAACTCCCTACACCTGAGAACCCGGTCTAATCGGATTGTGTTCTTGACAGTTAAATGGTATGACCAAAATAAAATTACTGACACATGCATACACACTCGGCATGTATTGAACTTCAAATCAACATCAATATGGTACACAAGCAAATCCCCATGCTAAACAGGCGTATGAGGATGTATCAGTTAATCAATTGTAATTCATTCTTTGGCTCAAGATACATGAACGGAGTAATGTGTCACAGAATCAATTATGTGAAAACATGTCAATGTTTAAGCTAATGGAGCAGAAGAATAATGAACTTGAAAAAATGCAAACGAGAAAGAATTGATATCTTAGATTAAGATGTCTGAATCGTGATAATTAATTTAGTTGTTTCGCGGCAAGCTGGGTGAAGTGTTATGTGCCCTATTTGGGCATACGCGTACATACGCACACAAAAGACAAAGATCCCCCGTATAGCCTTTACAGACTGTTGGGGAAAGTGCTGTTAGTGAGCACCTATGAAGGCTGGCACGGCACACGACGGGGTGGGTGGTCAAAACCATGCCCGGCCGCCTTTGTCTTCCTAGTGGTGATAGTTACACACTGCACCAGGTACTCAATTAAGGCTAAGTCGACCTACGGGAGGCCCAGGACTGGTTCAGATAATCGTCACTGGTGTTGGCCGTGAGTGGGAATCGAACGCGGGTTGTTGGGTTTGTAGCGCAGCGCACTAACCGCTACACTACCGCTGCCCACATACGCACACGCACACACACACGTACACACACACGCACACACAGACTCCACGTACACGTACACACGTACACGCACACGCAGACTCCACGTACCGGTGCTCGTATCCACACGTTCCAGGCGAGCAGCAGGCTGGCCAGCAGCTCCACATCCTGGATCACGGCGTCCGACTCGCGCTCCAGCTCGAAGCGGCTGCGCTCACGGCTCCAGCGCAGGACCACGCCGTCACAGCACGCCTCCAGCAGCACCTGCACGTGGCACACCATGCGGCACACCGCATGGTAAACCATGCAACACACCGTGCAGCCTCACACAGCATACCCCACGGTAAATCATGCAGCTCACCACGCGGCACATCGTGCAGCATTACGCAGCACACGAGAAGCACGCAACATACCACCACATGCAGCACACCACACAGCAGCACGTAGCACACCACGCAGCACATTACGCAGCACACCACACCACGCAGCACACCACACGGTAAAGTGTTCTCCCAGTGTGTAGATCGCTATAAGGGCTCTTCAATGTAGTCTGCTATTTCTCCTGCCAAGGCTCGTTCAATAACACACAAGGTGATGCACTGCTCTGTGAGATGTCTTCTCGTGACATGACATCAATAGCACAATAAGCAAAAAGGATGGGAAAATCCAGTTGCTTTCCATGTGCCAAACACTCATTCATAGTTTCGATTTAAAGCTTTCGTGAGTGCAGGGATTCATCTTCTTGGTTCTTTCGGCAACTTTACCGAAAGAACCAAGAAGACTCATTCATAGTGTTGGCGAAACATTCCAATGCAGGAGCCTCTTAACAAAGAGTCTTTAGACTGAGATTCATCCTGCGTACATCACTGGCAATAATTGATTTTTTTAAATACACAAACCTGCACCGATCTCCCCCAACACAACTTTTTCCTTCCCTCTTCCCGCTCCATTCGTGCCAGGCATGCTCCATGATGAACGTGCAGCAGCCACCGCCAATTAGGAGACACGGCCACGGCCGGCCGGAGTGGACAGGGCATGAGAGGAGACAGCCGTTAGGGCCTCGGCGCTCAGCCTGCACCTGACAGGCGCTCATTACTCCGCAGGGAGCCCCTGTCTATTGTCAAGGAGTGCTTTGTACCTAAGCAAAGTCACTCCAAATTGACCAATTAAAAAATGCCCCAACGACGGCGGCAATTCACAGGGCAGACCAATTAGGACTTTTGATTTGCACGTTCAAAACGCAGCCTCTCGCAGCAAAATGGCAACAAATTTGATACGTAGCCCTTGATCTCAGGCGAGACGCACTGTGAAGAGGTACGCTTTGTAAGGCGAGTGGCAAAAGCGGCAGGTCTACTCAAGCGAATATTCAAAGGGAATGGAAAAATCCTCGACATTTTAGACGGATTATGTTTAACAAACCACTGGCAGACCATCTAACAGAGGGGTAGGAGAGAATGACTGATGATGATGATGATTGTGGCGATAATGTTCGACCAAGCAAGTACTCAATCTCACGTAGATAACGTATCAGCCGACGTGAATCGATGCAAGCCTAGAATGCAGTGACCGGGGTGGGTGGATCACACAAGGCATGCATCCACAATGTTTTTGAAAAATATCTGCAGGAAAACAAAGTTCCTGCGGGAAGACAATACAGCAAGTATGTCTCCCGTCCATCTAAGAACGGACTGCGTTCTGCCAAGCAGGTTACTAGTTGAGTTTAAGATCTCACTCTCGCCACTTCTGACAGAAACAAAAACTCGGGTCAGCCGGCTCATAGCGCGGTGCGGGAAGCACTGCGCACACTGATAATTGTGTTAACATTATTGCGAGACGTGTGACGATTCACACCTAACCACCGCGGGGATTTGAGGAGCGTAAAAAACACTGGAAGTGCCTGGACACCCTAGTTTGAAACAATTTTTAAACTTTTTTTATTTTACCAGTTTAGGACCACTAAGCTGTATAGCTCTTTTTCAGAAGCGACCTGGCTGCCACAAATGATCGCTCAATTTAGTGGTTTATCATCATGTGCAAGTTTATAGCGGTCAAGTACTCTCAATGCATGTTGATTCTAAATGTGGAGGGAAAAACCAGAGAACAGGGAGAAAAATCCACACGACGACAGGGAGAGGAAACACGCAAACTCCAATTATACAGGAGTCAAGGTCGGGCATCTAACCCACGACCTCCTGCACGCCAGGCAAGGTAGTTAACATCTCGCCACCGCGGCGCCCCCGACAGGCACAGTGGACGCGTAGGCCCACGAAGCGGTGCTGACCTTGAGAGTGTGGAAGCCCACGAGGCAGCGCTTCTTCGTGAGAACCTCGTAGATCATGGCGTAGCCGTGGCAGTCGGACATCTCCTGCACGCGCTTCTGGTGGCGGCGCGCCAGGCTGAGCGCCACCTCCAGCGCCTTGGCCTGCGTAGCTTCACTCTCGCTCAGCTCGACCACCTGACGTGTGCACCAGAGAGGGGCGGGCCGGGGTGGGTTAGGGTTTGGGGGGTTAGGATAAAGCTACCGGAACGTCCTGGTTTGGCTGGGACAGTCCCGCTTTCAGAAAGGCTGTCCTGGGTACCCCGAAGCATTTGCAAACATTGGGATTTTTGTCTCGGGATGAAGCGTTCTGACCTTATTTTCGTGGGACATGGGTTGGCAAAGGAGTGGAGAGCAAGGCCATGTGAAGCAATGGTTTGGGGGTCACTGTCAGAAAGAGCGAGGAGGAGGAGGCCTCTCACTGCGCGGGGCAGGGCTAGTGGCTGAGTGGGCGTGACTATTTTCAAGTGGGAAGGGGCTAACGGAAGGTGTTGCAAGCTCTCCACGCGTCGCCTGATTGAGCCTCCTGGAAAATTTGCTTAATCTAAAGAGCAATGGAAGTTTAAAATCGTCTTGGAAGAGATTCCAGTGCCACGATTCAGGTCACATACAAGCCCTGCCGTCTCTGTGCAGTTTCAAATTTAATCACTTCCTGAACTTATGACTGTCGATGTTGTATAATTTCACAAGGGCAATTATGGCAGCTACCCCGGTGTAAAAACACAAACCTCACATTGTAAATGGCTGGGCGGCTCAGGGGGATGGAGCTTTTATATAACAGCAGTGAATCATTTCAACAGCACTGTACCGCATTGTCGTTCTTGCACATAATCGCTTTAATTTAGGATTGCGTTGTTTATTTTGTGCAATAATTTGTTTGCATGCCAGGGTCTTCCTATCAAAAATGGGTCTCCCCATGCCTTCATAGGTGCTCACTAACCACACTTGCTCCAATAGTCTGTGAAAGGCTACACGGGGGATCTTTGTATTTGTCTTGTCACCTGGTTATAAATACATTTGACTTGATTATGTGCAACAAAATCATTGCTCCTTACTCCCAGCGATCCATACTGTTGACTGTCCAAGGCTCAAGAGTATTCATTCTCCCTCTACCTATGACTGACTGCCTCTATAAAATAAATACGCATTGATTCTGTACAGCGCCTTGAGATGTGGCTACGCCGTACGAATATATAGCTGCATCATACAGTTCACGAGGACGAGGAGCAAAAGACACGCACGGGAGTCCGCGTACCCTCGCGAACAGGAAGATGAAGGCACTCGTGCCGCCGATCTTGTAGACGCTGCTCTGCAGGCCTCGGTGGCTCGAGGGCTGTGGGGCCCTCAGCACCTCTGGGCCGTCAGGAACGAGCTTGATGTCACGCGGGGACGGGGCCTTGGCCGGCGGCGGGGCCCTGCCGGGAACGCGGGACTGCGTGGGCGCGGGGAAGTCGTACACCGTGTAGCGCGTCGGGTGGCTCGGGCAGTAGGTGAGGCACAGGTTCATCTGGAAAGAATAGGGGAAAGACGGCACTGAAGCTGAGTGATCAGGTTTTTTTGGTGTGTTTATTAGTTTGTTGTTCCACTACCCCGCACCTCTGATTAGCACGGTTGGCTACGGACGGTGGGAAATAAATTCAACATACACACGTACATACTTGACCACAATATAGGATGCGATCCATCCAGGATCGATTTGTTACTTTGAGGTCACCAGGCTTAGTTGTGAATCGTTGACATCTAAAAGATCCTTATATTGTTGTACTCGTATATACACCTGTATATTTTGTCAATTGTGATACGAGTGTTGGTAAACACCTAAACTATCATTAACACAAGAACCTCCTGTGGACAGGAAAACAATAAAAAAATCGAAGGAAAATAAAATACAGTAAAACCTTGGATTGCGAGCATAATTCGTTCCGGAAACGTGTTTGTAATCCAAAGCACTCGTATATCAGTTGTGATCACGTGACGCTCGGCAGACAAGGCGTATACACGTACTACTCGTATTGCAAGACCTCGCTCGTTCATCCAATTAATATTCATTTAAAAATGTAGCTCGTCTTGCAAAACACTCGCAGACCAAGTTACTCGCAATCCAAGGTTTTATTGTAGATCCTTTGATAAAGTTACTGCCCCACTAAACCCATTTTCTCATTCATTAAACTTCCCAGGGCTTATGTTACAAAATTTACTCCTTAGCTGTGGGAACACATGTACACATTAGGATCTATATTCTATGCACTGTCTTACATCGAGATCTAGCTACAGTAGATTACAGGACAATTTTAGGGTCCCTTTGTGAAACCATTAGCAACTGAATGCAAGAAAACCTTTAACTTTCGCTGGTCTTTTTTTCCCAATGTCAATACAATTGTGCTATCAAAGTCGTGTAATGAGATAAATCATCAATTAGGAACACCCATGGAGCAGTAGTTTATGCCCGTGGAAGACTTCATAGAAATGCTTTTGATAAATTTCATCACAATTTAATGAGCATTATTATTCACACACTAGGGGGAACATTCACAGACACCCTGGGTACCTGGGTACAATTAATTGTTTGTTGGATGGCGAGACCAAATTTCTAATTCTCAGAGCTTTAACACAGCAAAAAAAAAACTAATTTAAATGTCACGGGGTTTTTCTGTGGTTATTGGTTACCTGAGCAAAGACCATCCACTCGCTACAGGTGGTTGAAACTTAGATTTGAAGTTGTCACTTGAGCAGCGCTGTCTCAGCCTAAGACCTCTGAGCAACGTGGACACCTTATATATATATAAAAAAAAAGCATTTTTAAGCACCGGGTCTAATCCAGGGCGCGAAACGTTTTTGACCACACAGACGAGGGCAGCAGCACCCACAGGCCAGCGGCCCAACACGTGCGTTTTTTTTTCTGCCGTTTGAGAAACGAACCACAAGCGGGCTGAGGTTGAACTCGGAGCTGCAGGCGAGCAGGTCCTTGAGATTGCCTCCCTCGAGCATGGCCAGGGTGACATACTTGCTGTAGACGGGAGCGGGCGAGCGCTGCTTGCACGGCAGGATGCTGCGCGTGTCCGGTCCGCACGCAAAAAGGTGGAAGGCGAACTCCGGCGTGAGGATGGCATCTGGCATCGTCACGCACCGCACGAAACCACCCGTCGGCTATGACAGTCATGGGAAACAACTGCTCTACGTGCCTCTGATTAGCACGGTTGGCTATGTATGGTGCGAAAGAAATTCAACATACATGCAGCATCTGATGTTAAAGGTGGAACATACAAATCACATAACTCCACCTACTATGTATGTATGTATAACTTCTTTCGCACTGTACATAGCCATCCATACTAATCTGAGGTGCTTGGGAAGGACAACAAACTCAGCACAAAAAGCAGTTCTAAAGAAATGAGTTTCAAATCGAGATTTAAAAGTGCATAGCTGCAGTGGCTTCCTAAATTCGTAAAGAAAGAGCATTCCAGACGGCCGCAGAAGCACATCTGAAAGCGTGCGATGCAGTGACCATCTTTGTTAGATGGCCAACCAAATTCTGCTCCAAGGATGCCGGAGTTCGCGTGATGGTTTATGCTCCTTGACGAGATCAGCAAGGCATCGTGGTTCATTTGCGGAAAGCATTTTGTGCATACCCAGGAAAGCCTCACTGAGTCTCATGACTTTTTCAGGAGGGTTCTGCCCCATTTTCGTAGTCGGGGGGTGATGCTTGCCGTGCATATTCCAATTTGAGTAACAACTGAAGCAGTAACCAAAATAGGCAAATGCTTGCATTTGAAAAAAACCCTGGACAAATGAGTAAAAACAAATATTATGGAGATAAAGTATGAGTGTGGGTGTTACTTGTGATCAACAGTGACTCATTAGTAATACAGAGGAATGTATTACTCCTTGATTGTCCCTTGAACCTTGGCTTTGACAATCAATAAACTAATTAGGCTTGCAGTGCTATGCCTTGCAACGTTACCACCCAGTTGCTGTAAAGCCAGTCAGTGCCCCCTAGGCTAGCTTTACGCGTGCATACACATGGCACGCTCTTAATGTTCTCAATTTTGGCAGTTACAAATGCCGAATCGGCTGTAAACTTAACACTCGTTATGCACCCGTAAGCGATGGCAAAGAAATTAATCCAAGTGTTTTAATTGAACATCGTCAATCTCAAGGACGCAGCACCACTAACAATTATTACACGCATAGTCAAGAGAAATTGTTCGAGCCCAGTCATAAAATATTATCTTGCATAATTACAGACCCGGGAGAACAATTATAACGTGTACATATGGAATTTCAACACGGAGCCATTAAGATGGGATCTACAGCTCATGCGTTACATCGGCATGTACATTCGTACTGCTCAAGAGTTAACGTTTCATATTAATTCAAGGTTTTGTTGGCACGATTAATATTCCATCCATGCGCGTCGTGCCGTTGTATGTGCGTTTTTGTATCAATGTTTACCGCATTGTAGGGGTGGTTACAATTCATAAACCTCCAAGGAATGCCACAAACTGTCGCAATTCATGATTGTGATGTTATGCAGGAATGTTCTCTTTTTTTTAAAGACAACAATGGTAGCGCCTCCCGTGGCTGCAGGAGTGACACACACTAGTACAACGGACGTATTGAACAACATTGATGAGTAGATATGCAATTACGTGTATGTATGGCGAGTACTATGAGGGGTGGATGAGTAACACAGTGATTCGCGCACTGCACTATGAACTGAGAAAGTCAAGTTTGAATTCCTGGCCACGGCTAATGTCAGCGGCGCGTGATATCTGAACCCGTCCTAGGCACCAACCCACATGGATCAGTTTGGTGAAGTATGGAAAAACAACTGCATGATGGAAAAGCATGGGGAGGTTTTCATGCAGAAGTGCATTGCGCTAAATGAATGTAAATGATTAGAATTATTATCGTGTCATTCAGAAACAATAGTAATCAATGAATTGATGCATCACTTCACAAATATTGTATTGCATTGCCTTTGTGACCCATGTCTTTGTTGAAAATTTTAATTTTAGTCTCACTTGGTTTTAAATGAATGAATATATCTTTCTAATCGGTCCATCCACACAAGGTAGCAAAGGTGCAGCACTGCAATTTCTTGCTCATGCCCCTGCTGATGGAAGGGCCTCCACTAGAGGGAGCTTCAGAGCCCCCTCTAGAGGGTATTTGGCCTACTCTGCCACGCTGGCCAGACGTCCCGGAACAGCTGGGAGTACCGACGCTGGATCCCACCACAACACGTGACCTGCGACCTCGTGCAAACGTACCGTAAAACACCATGAGGTTTCCCAGGCTCCATGAGCCAAGAAGACGCTCGGCCTCCTCCTGGCTGCCCACGCTGTGGCCCAGAAGGCAGTGCAAGCGCTGAGCGTCAGCCGGGCTGGTGGGCTTGCGTGCGGGCGGAACCACAAAGTCCAAGGCCATCTCGGAAACCCTGGAATTATCCAAAAGGACACTTTTATTTTTAAATCCTTTATATTAAGTTCACTTGCTTGCTTGCTTGCGCGCTTACGACCGTGCAAATCTTTCGTTCGTTTTTTAACCCACTTCCCGTGATCCAATCGAGCTGACATTTTGCACACAGACTCGTTGTTTTTCCCAAAATTTTACACTTTTTAGGAAAAAATAAATTATATTTAATTACCAATTGCTTAATGATGGCAGGCAATCATCTGCCCCATAAGTGGCAGCCATCTCAAGCCAGAGGACGAGAGGACTCTAGCCGCCACGCATATAAAGAATTTATAGTGAAAAACTTTGTTTTTACGGGTTAATTTTGTTCGTGTGTGTATGCGCGTAGCGTGTTAGGAAGCAGTAGCCAAGTGGTTAGAGCACTGTGCAACAAACACAGTAGCCGGAATTTAGATTCCAAGTCACGGCCAACATCTGGGGTCGAATATCTTAGCAGGTCATGGTTCCACTTGAGGTCGACTCAGCAATAAAGGAGTACCTGGTACATTGTTTAAACATCAGCAATAGGGAGACAAAGGCGGCCATGTGTGGTGCTAGCCACACCACCCTCTCATGTGTCAGGCTGCCTCTTCATGGGTGCTCGCTATCAGCACTTGCCCTCAGACCCTGAAAAGGCCATTTCGGCAATCTTTGCCTTTTGTTGAGATGTGTATGCAAAAAATAGAAAAAAAGCAATGCATACATTAAGCTAAAGCATGTGTCAAATACAAATGTCATACTGCATCAGCATGGCAGGTTTTTTTATGGACTACATAAACCACTTTGGTAGAGGAGAGATCTCAACTTTCGTGTTAAAAGTTAGACGTTTAAGATGGAAATGATGTCTGTGTTGTCGTATGAATCGGAGAATTTGACTTTAACAAGGTCACTGAAAGATAAAAGATTACAGCTTTCTCAGGCAGACACAGGCTGAAGATGGCAGGAAATAAATGGAAGGATAGGGTGAGCAACTTGAACGTTTGCAATAGAATATGGCAATAAAATTGTTGTACGGGAGGTTGTGGATGTGTGGGACGTGTGTGCAGGATGGATGCCAGGTCTCCAAGAGAGACACCGCAGTTGGCACTCACAGACCGGCGATAAAGGGGAAGGACTAACACCAGACGGTGGGATACTGCAAGAGCTGACATTAACGGTCAGGTGTAGACTTACAACAACTCAAGAGATCTAGCGAGAGGAAGGACAACGCGATGCTCAGGTGCAGCGGCATCAGCAGCATTGGCGATGACGACGTCTTGACCTTCAAAACTTTTAAAATTAGAATCGGCGGAGACAGTGGATGAGGCGACGGTACCTGCACCCGTCGATCCAGACGGCCAGCCTGCCGTGGGCGTTCCTCTTCCCCTCGGGACGCTGCTGGTAGGACAGTGCCAAGTGCTGCCACTGGCCAAGCGCCAGCACGTCTTCCGCCGTCTCTGCCTGCGCCAGCAAGTCGACCTTCTTACCATCGCCTGCGTCGACCACCACCCTGGCAAAGGGGAAAATGCGTGTTGGCACCGGGGCACAGTTTACACCACACCGTTAGGGTCATTACACAGAAGTGTTCCCAAAAATGTATTTACGTGTGTGCCTGCATACATATATTAAGTGGCTGGTAACTGAATAGTCGTTTGATTTCTGGCCAAGGATAACATTAGTGGTGAGTGTGATATCTGAATTGGTCTTGCTGCCCCCACTGTCCCCCCTCCCCTCCTTCAGTCGACATTGACAAGTGTGGTGAAGTGGGCTTAAAGGAACCCATGTGACCAATGCATAGAGAGTCCTTCACTGGCAAAGCGCACACATTTAATTGTACTGCGATGAATTTGAATCTCTAATGAGGGTTTTGACTTTTCTAACCATGCTATGGGGTTGTTTGCCGGCCGAATCGCCTTTAAAAAATACCTTCTCACAGCTCAATGGCCTTTACTCGGTGGGCAACGAAAACATTCTCAACTTCTTCTAAGGCATCCAAGCTCCAACATGTGCCAACGCCGCGCCGTGCCCGTTACCTGAACGTGAGCAGGCCGGCGTCTGGCTCGGCCCACACCTGCAGCATGAGCGAGCGCGAGCCGAAGGACAGCAGGTGCAGCAGGCCCTCGTCCACCATCCGGTCGCCCGCCTTGTGGGGGTTGGGGTAGTCGATGACCACCACCCGCTCTCCCTCTGTAGGGGACCACAAATCAAAACGTCCATTAGCTTTGGATGCGTCTCATAGCCCTCTTTACCACTGGCACACCCGAGCCACGCCAGTGCGGACCCTCGTGGTGCGGGTGGGTTTTTTTCCCACGAGGTATTTGCCAAGCAGAGCCGGAAGCAAACCGGGTCAGGTAGGGGTTAATCGATTTCCTTCTAAGTTGCATCAATCAGTACACTGGGTAAGCACCACAGTTCGGCTTCTGCAGTGGAAAAGCAACCTGGCGCCATCGGCATGCGTTTTGGGGTGCGTCTTACTTTTCCGAGCGCCTCATAATTAGAATAATACGATAAATAAATACTCCGTTCTGTTTCCTGCCTGCATGCACTTTTCTGCCCAATGAGCCTCTCATCACTTAAAAAAGTGTCATAATTAGCGACGATGGCCTGCAAGGCTGCAATTTTATTTCATACAGCCCCGTGGCCACGTAAGGCCTAAACGGCCCGCCACTTAAATTTACATGTCTCTGTGAGCATCTTCGCTGCCGGTGCTAATCAGGCACTCGATGAGAATATCTTTGACATGGCAAGACCGTTTAAACGCTTGTTCGTTCTTAGTCACCGGTTATATTTCAAGCACTTCTGAGCACACACATCAATGTTTTAGAATCTATGAATGTGTGTGGCGTTCCAAAGGTATTTGGAAACCCTATTCTGTTCTCGGTTAGAAAAAATGTTACACGCCCATGGGTTAGTGGATCAATGAGAATGGAGACAGTGAAGTGTGCAAGGTTCCTCCTGATTCGGTTGTCACCCAGGAGAAAGTAAACAAACAAGCAAATACACGGTTACATTGTACTCTGTTCCCAACGTCCGTTGACTTGTAATAAAAAAAAGAAAAAGAAAAGCAACACCATTAGATGTAATCCAATACGGATGATTGCACAACGTTTCTTAATCTGCACTATTGTACCCTTTTGCCAATATCAAGAACTGAATTGATAAATATAGTAGGTGTTAAGACGTTCAAACTCCAGACACCCGTTACAAGTCATAAAGTCTGCATTCACCAGGCATACTTGGGGTAAGAAATGCAAAGAAATATGCTTTGATAATGCATGGTTGTGGCTCTCACTAAAATATATTATACGTGACTATTTGAATCAACGCAATACAATTCTTAATGTTTAATTTAAATACATAAAATATCCCTTAAAATAACACAAAAAGATATGCAAATTAACATTTCCTGATATTCCACAAAAGATAAAATATATAAATAACGAAATCAAAAGGTCTGCATTGCAAGAGGCTGCTCAAAAGCTAATCAAATGTTCTGCAAAAATGTGTAAATTCTAAGACCCTTAATTGGTACGAATAACGACAGAATCCGTAGACTCTTTACAAAAAGGAAAATGAAAAAGTAATCAAAGAAAATACCAGGGCTGTCGATGCTGCTGTCACGGAACACGAGGAGACGGTTCTTTTGGACCTGCGGACACGTTCGCCGGCCCCTCCGGCCGCGGCAGCGCCGTTGTCCTCTCCCCCAGGGCCCCAGCCGACCCTGAGCCACAGGGAGGCGCTGAACCCCGCCGGGCGGCCCGTGTGCTGCTGACCCCACGCCTGGTGCTCTGCCGGCAGCGCCAGCCGGACGGAGGAGATGACCCAGGGCGATGCCGGGCCGCGGGGGCCGGCGCCGCCGCTGCCGCCTCCGCCGCCGTCGTCCTTGCGGGACGGGTCGGGCCGCGTGCACCGGAGGAACTCCTGGAAGGCCCTCTGCACGGGGCTGGCGGCCCGGGCCTTCACGCCGGCCGTGGCCACGCGGGCCATGGCGTGGAGCGCGGCGCCGCCGCCCTGTGCCGTCGGGAAGCTGAGGAAGTGCGACGGCACCGCCTGCGTGTTCGCCTGCACCACCTGTGACAACCCGCTGAGCAGCAGCTCCTGAATACAGAGACGATATACAGCAACATCGTTATACATTGCCTGTACAGGGCGGCCTTTAAATGAGTAAGGTAAGGGTACAAGGTGCAGCCCTGCAATTGCCTGCTCATGCCGCTGCTGGCCAAAAAACCCCCACTAGAGATAGCTTTAGAGAGCCCCTCGAGAAGTGATTTTGGCCTAATCTACAGACTTGTTGTTTGTAAATAGGTGAGAGTACCCACACTTTACCCCACTACATACTACCTGCTGACCGATGAACTGTTGCGTTCTTGAACTGGGATATTAGGTGACATGCATTGATGAGTATTTTTGTACGTGAGAGGGAAATGGATAATGTGGATAAATCCCACAAATACCAGGAAATCACATTTAAAAAAACATAGTCACCAACCTACTTTCTGTATTACTTCACAACACAAGTCATGTAATAGTCTTGCAGATGTATTGCATCATGCACAACATACATATATATAGGTATGATCTGTATATGCTGTTTCAAACAGCTGGATGACACAGGCCCGAACCAACAAGGCCCAGTGCTAGCGTAAACACGTCTTTATTATCATTAAGCCGCTCACACTTTTTTTGCACGTTACGAGTTAACCATGGCGACTGCTCGTGGGGCGAGTGTGCGGGGCGAATGGGAGGCTGAGCGCGGTGGCTGCAGCACCGTGGGCGGGCGTTGCTCCGAGAAGAGGCGCAGCAGCAGGGTGAGCTCCTCGGAGGACATGTGGCTCGTCGTCATGGCCACCAACAGGTCCACCAGCGCCGTCTGACACTCTGGGCAGTTGCGGACGACACCAGACCAGGCACGAGATGTGTTGGCCAGAACGACATGCCACGCAGTCTTGCTCGACCGTGTTGATTCTCCGACACAAAACGCGGTGCATTAGTAATTTACTCTCTCGGCACCGCATGTGGTTTGTCCATATTTTCCGGTTTGGACCAAGAATTTTTACTTTTAGATAAAGTTTAGCAGAAGGACTTGTTTGAACATTCTGCGCTCAAAGCCTTTTTATCTCTTTGTGCATAGCCTCTCAAAATGCAATGCTCACTTTCAAAGTAAGGGTTTTTCTCCATTCCACACAACTCTCGTCACTCATGCCCGAACCCCTTCCCCTGGGGATAATATTCAATTTGCAAAGGGCACTTATATAAAATAGATTTACTCGCAGCCGTTGCGAATTACCCATGCCGCATTTCTGTATATAAACAAGCACAGGCGCCCAATATAGCATAAAGTTACATAACTACCCTATGACGCACTCCAAACGAATTTTAAATATTGTAAAAAAAAAATGTGTACAATACATACAGTTTTTTCCCCAACGAATGCACAATCCCTTCATGCCGATCAATTGTGTTGTTACGAAGCGAAATGTTTTCTGCCATCCTTTGTTCACACCTCTCATAGCCGGATCTGCTTGGCCAAGCAATGCTGTGAATCCTATCAGAAGAGTCTTGACCACTCCCTGCAAAACATTTCCACAGCAACCTAATTCAAGATTTTCACAGGCAATGACTAAAATGCTCACGTAACAAAGTACCAATCCTTTGCATTTCAACACACAGTCATTAAATCCCAGCAACAATAACAACTTGATTATAATTTTGGCTTGCATACTAAATTCAGTTTCACAACGAAAGTAAACCATCCAGAATTAATGCTTTCTTGACTGCAGGAATTCATATTCTTTGGGTCTTTCGGTATAGTCACGTAGATAGGTTCACAGAAAATAACAAAAAACTACGACGTTTCAATCGCAACACAAACGATCGTCATTATGTGTTGCGATCGAAACATCGTAGTTTAAAAAAATATATATTTTAACCTATCTACGTGACTTTACCGAAAGACCCAAAGAATATAAACCATACAGCATAAACGTGTTCAAGATATGCACTCTCAGTGCCACTCTTCTCTCTTCCTGAACTCTCCATGACAGCAACCAACCCAAGGCTTTCTCTGTCGAAGGCCTCAGCGAACCCGCACTCAGGTGGGAGGTCGGCCTTCTCCCATCATTGCCCAGAATGCCCATGATCCACTGTTCTGTATAGCATCTCGAAATGCAGTTGCATTTAGACGTAATCGTATTATATTGCGCGCAAGTGAGCGGAGTGAATCGGAGAACAATGGAACGTTAAAGTCGTTAATCGATCCCCGATAGCTTTACACTGAATTCTATAATAACAACAAAAAGTGCCGTGAGTTGGGAACTGGGTGCTCCGGATCCCAGGTGTGACGGACGAACCTGCTGGTAAAGCGCGACGCGGTTCTGCTCGCCGCCACGGGCAATCTCCAGCAGGGTGCGGAACACGCGGGTGGCCACAGAGAGCTCGAGAGGAGCAGCCGCGAGCAGCTTCAGCACCAGCACGCACAGCTCCGGGTAGGCCAGCTGGCCCGGCAGGGGCTGAGGGCTGGCGCAGGCCGCTGGCCCTCCATCCATGCCCAAAGGAAAGGCCGGTCCCGGGGCCAAACGAGGGGCCGACTCGTCCTTGCTGCCTGCCGCCCGTCACAGGCAGCCGGAACCGTGTAGGCAAATGCGAGTGAACGTTTTTGCAATAGAGTTTGAAATGATTTGTGAAAAGCCACTCGCACTCTGCCTTGTCTACGATTGTTTTCGAAAAGCCTCCAACCCCTAAGCGATTGCTGCATGAGCAATGAATTCCAATTGACACCACAACGCAGCTCGTTGTGTGCATTTACAAAATTTGTTTGGGACCAATGCAATTTAAAGGTTATGGGCAATAAAATCACGACGGTGGCTGCTCATTAAGTTTGAAACAAATCTGTGTCTCCCAAGACAATTCGGTGGAGTAAATGCAGCTCAGAATGAGCAGGCGTTATTGCTTTGGGGCATGTAATGCTGCATCGATTCTATGAATAAACTATGAACTATTTATATTTTACCAGGTAAGGCCCACTGAGTTATATAGCTCTTTTTCAGAAACTACCTGGCTGCAAATAATCGATCAACGAAGTGGCTTATGTGGAAATGTATAGCAGACAAATACTCTAAGCACATGTTTTTAAATGTGGAGGGGAAAACCGGAGGGCCCGGATAAAAATCCATGCGACCACAGGGAGAACATGCAAACTCCAAATATACAGGCATCAGGGCCAGGATCTAACCCACGACCTCCTGCATACCAGCTGAGGCTGATAAAATCTCGCCTCCGATATATACATACACACGCATCGAATCATTGCTCACCTTCCTCTGTGTTGTCATCCGGGTTACTCTCACTGTCCGCTTCATAGCCGCCCTCCTCTCCGCTGCAGCCGCCCCCCGGCGAGTGCTCCGGCTGCATTCCCTTGACCTCCTCGGGGTCGTCAAACGGGTCGGCGCTCCACTCGCCATCGAGGGGGAACAGCTCCTCGTCCGCGCGCTGCTCGGCAAGAAACCACGCGGCGCGAGGGTCAGACCGCACTCCGGCGCACGGTGAAATCATGACTGTTGCATCAATGTCGGCTGCGATCAAACCCTAGCCGTCACCATCTGTCATGGTTCTGCGATGTAACGATACATGGCACAAGCCGATTTTCATCGCTCCATCCGCCTGGTGGATGTCCTCTTAGATGCGTGTCATCTTTTGGATAACGCTTTCCTTGGTCATCGGCCATCGTCCCTGCTAGTGATGTGTTCTCCCAAGCCAAATGACTGTTTCTAACTAGAGTTATGTTCTATAAGTAATTCCAAACTTGCATCTTCGCCATGCTTTCATGCGCAATCCAGTTTTTGTTGCATTTCATTCGTCAATGTCAACAATTCCAGTCCATATGCGAGAAAAAAGTGCGCATCGATTAAAAAAAACAACCTGACCATCACTCTTTGGCACGTATTGTGACGGGTACTGCAAGATTCGACCGTGTCCGTCCAGTGCTCGGCAAGCTGCATTGGCTTCTGGTTGCCGAACGTTACAAGGTCGAACTCATTACACACAAAGTGCCTGCGACAAATTAACCACAATACTTTGCCGATCTCGTCAAGCAGCATAAACCATCACGTGAACTCCGGTCATCCTCACAGTAGATTTTGGCTGGCCATCGAACAAAGATGGTCACCACTGTGGCTGTCTGGAACGCTCTTCCTTCCAATATTAGAAATCCAGTGGAGCGATGCATCTTTAGAACTGCTTTTTGTGTATAGTTTGTTGTCCTTCCCCCACACCTCAGATTGGCACAGTCGGCTACGTACAGTGTGAAAGAAGTTCAACATACATACGTACAATGCCAATCGACTAGAGCTAGACTGCCGACCTTTTTGTCGTCGAAATCGAGCAGGACGTCATCCGGAGGGCCTCCCGTGAGGGCCACACGGAGCAAGGCCTCGCACAGCGGCCGCGCCAGCTCCGTGGCCAGCAGCCCGCTCTCCGCCAGCAGGCCCCACAGCTCCTTGAGGAGATCCTTCGTCGAAAAGCCCTGCCGAGAGCCCAGCGCAAGCAACGGCCGTCACACTCGGTAGAAAAAAATAATCAATATTCAAGAGCCGCGATGCACCGTGTGGTGAATACGAGACGGTGGTTCCTTAATAACGTCACCGAGCGGTCCTTAAAGAGCCACCGCATGCGGCTCCAGAGCCAACCCCTGGACGTGGGAATCGTTTGCTGGTCGGTGCAGGGCGGCCCACAACCGGTTCAGATATCGCTCGTAGCTGATGTTCGTCACACCCAGGAATCAAACAGAGGTCACCGGGCTCATAACGCAGGGCACTAACCACTGCGTCACCACTCCCCCAAAGCATATATAAAATAAAAAATAAATATTTTGAATACTAGATTTTAGAAATGTTCTAAAAGTGACTCAAATATATATATATTTTATGATAAAAATCAAAATAAATACAGAAAAAGTGTTAGGTTAAGATTACACGTGCATCTTTTCCTTGAATTTAAACCTCGTTGTTCATTCCAGCACGCACCTGCCCAGGAAGGTCATTGTCCCTCTGTTGGCTGCCCGTGAGCGTGCAGCCATGTAGGCAGACAGCCAGCAGGGCTTCCAGAAGCCTGATCTTCACCAGCTCGGGCCTATCCGGCCTATCCGTCCTCTCCGTTTCGCACGCACACCAGCGTCCTTCCTCGTTGTTGCTCGTCGCTTCCCGTTTTACATCCGGCGCCGCGTGCCCGTCGGCCGCTCTGGCCGCGTGCCCGTCCAGCCTCTGTCCCACGCTCTCGGATTTACTCGTGCCGATGCTGGAGCTCCTACACGACGCGGGCCACCCGTCGCCCGCTTCCGACGTCGGAGTGACCTCCGCGTCCGGGGCATCCGCGTCGTCGCCATCGTCGTCGGGAGGCCGCTGCGAGCTCCCGTCGCAGCTCTCCGCGCGGAGGGTCTGCTCGCCATCGGCGGGCTCTTGCTGGGTGATGGTCTCACTCGATTCTGAGAGCGCGGCGGCAGCGACGTGTACCTCCGTCGTCAGCTGCTCAGTGCTGGAAAAGTCCGACGACGTGTTGGATTGCGTTCGCGGGAGGGCGGCTGAAGCCCCGGCGTCGTTGTCTTCGGCTGCGGGGGCGGCCTTGGGCCTCCGTCCCGCCAGCCCGTCTTGCCGGGGAGCACCGGGGGAGGGCGAGAGGTCTTTGATGATGATCGCCGCGAGCCGGCGGCACACCTGCAGCGCCCCGCTGCGGGCCAGACGGCCTCGAAAAGCCAGGCTGGCCTGGCACAAGCGTCGGCACGACGCCCAAACGTCCGCCGCCAAGCGCACCTCGCCGTCGGAGGTCGGCAGCGCGGCGCAATCGGGCGAGAGTCGGGGCAGGGACGAGGCTCCGTAGCGCTCGCCCACGCAGACGCACGGCGTGCTGTCGTAGCCCGAGGTGTCCTCCGAGTCCCGGTCGGTGGAGTCCTCCCCGCCCTCGTCCCTCGTCACGCTCAGCAGAGTCACGCACAGGAAAAGGTCTGCGGCTCGCTGCTGATGATGATGCTGATTGTGGTGGTGCTGATGTTGGTGGTGATTGTTGTGATGGAACTCGGGGCTGCCGTCTCCGTGACTCTTTTTTCGTCTCATCGGGGTGACGTGGCCATCCCGCAGGCCGGCGCAGAGTCGGCTCAGCCTCCTGCGCGAGCCCGCCCCCGCCTGCACACAGCCACGGTCACACGCAGCATGATGTGAGCGCACCCACTTTGCAACCATGAGGTTTTACCATCGTCGTCATTATTTGAGGATTTTAATGTGCCCCACATGTCATTGCATCTCAAAGTGTGTAAACAATTGTCTAACGTGGGAAGCAAATTGTCACACATCTGTGAACATAAAAACTACCAATTAATGTGCAAGGAAACACATTATAGCAATATAACAAAATAAACAATTAGTATCTGTCTGTTTCCACTTAGAATGCATGCGAGTAGCTAGTCTGGCTCTTAATTGATCCAATCCCGTGGATACATTAATATCATCAGATGGACTGTTTCTCTACAACTATCGCCAAAAAGAAAATTATCCCGTCATCATCTGTACAATGTTGTATGTTTATGCCGGATTTTTGTATGATGGTCACATGTTTCTAGCAAAACAAGGACTTTATTTACTGGACCACTCAAGATCCCAGTTGTTGAGATGACGGGACACATGTGACAGGGAATGGCCTGCGGAAGAGATTCTTCGCAGGACTTCTGGAAAATCCTTCCAGTGGCCTTTCTTTCCTTTAAACAGTAGGGGTCGCATCTTAGCACGTATTCTGCAAAGGGATTGTCGCATGACAAACTGCTATTTTTAATTCCGACGTTTAAACCACTATTTTAATTCTCAGACTTATAAATAACAGTTTGACTGGCATAACTGTCATGCGACCACTACTTTTAAATCTCAGAATGTGGCCAAAACAAGCAGAACATCGAATGTAATACAATGTTTTTTTTGGTGTCACTGGTGACCCAGCTGAGCCCATCACTACACATCAGAATCCGGTTGAATCACATGGGTGGTTTCCCAGATTAGAATCCAAGATATCACTGACACCAGCTCAAGTACTGTGACCTCTGGGCTACTCGGCTATCTCCATTCACGAGGCTTCTTACATTTTACCTTCTCAACGTTTGGCGAATTCACACAATTCAGGTTCACGATTCAATGAACCAATTCCTTTATTGGCTCGTTCCTATTGTCTCCTTTATATTTTATGTCGCGTTTGTACTGTTTGTCTCCTACGGGCAGTTCGTGTAGAGGTAATATTTATTTAGATAATTTGCATCAAGTATAAAACAAAATAAATGTTTATACACGCGATTCGACGCATGTATCACGGAGCATAGGAATACATTTTTATTGCTAAATCGATTATTTGTCACATTAATCAAGAACTGAGCCAAGATAAGAATCATCGCAACATTATACTTTTTTTGTTCGTTTCAACTCCAAGCTTGTTAGGGATCGTTTCTTGTTGAAGCGACACGTTACGTCGCCGCAGTACCTCGTCGGACTGCGGGGAGTCGGGAGCCAAGTGAGCGGAGTTGGCTGGCGTCTCGCTGCGAGGCCTCGCTGCTCCTCTGCACGGGCTCGGGCCCCTCGGCCTCCTCGGGGCCCTGGCCCTCCAGGGCCAGAATGAGAGTGTGGAAGACGGCAAGAGCGGCCGGCCTGACCTCCTCCAGGAAGAGCAGCTCCGTGACCTGGGAGAGGCCGTCGCTGACAAGAAACAGCTCCAGCAGCGACCTGCGCACAAGGGGATCACCCCCCGCCCCACCACCACCATTTCAACCGCCGGGTTTGTGGAAGCTGTGAGTCATATGAAAAACAGTCTAATGCTTTGACAGATTCTTCCAAAACATACACTTTTAATCACTGAGGAAATGGGTTAGAGACTGGGGTGTGGCTCTCCAATACAGTTTGGTCTCATTACTGAGAAGACCGATGCCAACCTAAAGTGACTGTATAAATGTTTTTTAAATCACATATTAAAATTGTTTTTTATGTGTTTTGCTTTTGGAGATCACAAAACATATGCATACTATCGTGTGAAACAGAAAGGGTATAATCTGTACCTCATTCACCAACAAGCAAAGCAAAAGCATTTATTTTTAATCGCAACCATGTGATTTGTCAGCTCTTAATGCCTCTGTGTTACGGTCCTTGGCGAGCTTAGCCTCGACAATGGCTCGTGATGACTTTGTACATTTTAAAGTCACGACGGGTTAAAGTTCTTACTAGGAGCAGTCCGTGAAATGTTGAATAATAGCTACATCGTGATCACGCCAACATGCTCTCGTGACAAGTTCTTAAGATGAAAAAAAAAAGACTCTCAATTCAAATGTTTTTAGGGCATTTTGAAGGGGGGAGATTTTTCTCTCCCCTTTTTTTGCCAGGAACGGTGCAATTACGTAATCACTTTTTCAAACATAAGCAAAAACTGGCAACATGGTAACACGTCACATGAGCTGAACACAACAGGAGGACTTGTTAACTTGTGAAATAGCAAGACGAAGAAGTGGAATGCTACGCTCTATCGTTCCGTGCTCATCGATTCTCCTCGCCCCAACTTGTCCAGACTGCCCTCTAAGTAAGATAACTGACAAACAGGTGCGCTAACACGAAACTTAAGGCATTCCGAAGAGTTTCAACAGTATAATGTTGAGAAATATGTAATTTTGGGTGACTCTCCTGAAGGTACCTCTGAATTAAATATGCACACAGCAATAGCGGTAATGACAGGCAATATCCATACGTCATTATGTGAATTGCACTGTACACATTACGTGTGACATATGTGACCTTGTTAACAATGACAAAACATTAAATATATTTCACTTCAGTGGTCGGTCAAAATGTAAGAGTGATTAATTACCTAGACTAACAAGTGTTAAAAAACGACTACTTTGTCAAGCAGAATAATGAGGTTAATATCAGCAAAAAACCTTGATTAATGATTTAAGAATCAGAATATTTATCTATACTGGAGGAATCCGATGGATTCTGAAGTTATTTTTCACAGATGTCCAGTAAGAGTGGGTAAGAACGTTACAACGACAGTGCAAAATACAGGAAAGGTAAACAAATCACCTTAACGGATACAAATAAAACTAAACTTTCCCCATCCTACCAGGCAAAGCAACCTGGCCACGAATGATTTACAAATTACACATTTAGTCAATCCATACTGGTGTAATCTCTTACTTCAAGAATGTTCATCCAATCAGATCAAAAAAAATCAGATATATATAAACAACAATAACAAATCGTAAAAGGGCCTGACTTTACTGGGCCTCCTCACCTGTGCTGCAACAGAACGGGCACGGCTTCCAGGCACTTCCTTATGAGCTGCGGAGAGGGGCATCGGGCGTGCAGGTGGCACGCGTGCACGCACCCACCGGCCGCCGCCTCCCCGCCGAGCCCCAGCTGCCGGGCGTGCTGCGTCGCCTCCACACCCTGCCGGATAGCGGGCGACAGCACGTGCACGTACAGCTGCCGCCGCAGCTCCGGACCGCCCCGCCGCGCCAGATGGCAGAGGTGCCTAGCCACCAGCAGGGCGGCGCTGGGCCCGGCCTCGCCGAGCACGGGGCCCCGGTAGGCCGCCAGCGCCTCCCAGCGACGCGGCCGGTCGACGGCGTGGGCGGACGACGGACTGCTGCCACCGCTCTGCGCCGCCGAATCCAGGCCGCTACCGTCGTCGTCGGCGGACTCGCAGATCTGGCACGCCGTCGAGGGTTTGGGCTTGCCGTCCACGTTGCCCTGGTGGTTGCCCCCCAGCTGATCCAGCAGCAGCTTCCCCAGCACGGCGAGCGCGTACTGCTGGTACGCCTTGCTGCCGGCGCCGACGGGTGACCAGAGGCTGCGCAGGATGGGCCTCAGGGCCGCGTGCAGGTCCAGGCAACAGCAGACACCCGCCCCGCTTGTGCCGGACAGGAGACGCAGCGCAAATTCAGATGTTTGCACAGACTCCAGCATCGCCAGGCAGCGGGCGCTAAATATGGCCACGCAACATAGTCCGTCCGTCGTCTTGCCCGTCGCCCCGAGGCTCGCGGCATCCTCCCTGCCCTCGTCGTCTTGTTCTTCAAATGGGTTGAGCGGCATTCGGCTGGGGGTGAAGGCACACATGGGCAGGCCGCTCAGGTCGCTGTGATGGTGCTCCTGGGGGCAGCTAGGCTGCGGGCACGCTCGGTGGTGGAATGGCTGATGGTGGTGGCGTTTCCGATGGCCACTGGCCGGGTATACTTGCTCCACTCGAGCCTTCTTTAGGGCGCTAATAACCTCAGTGATATCATCTACGAGGATTCGGATGTAGACCCGGGCATCTCGAACCTCCAGCGCGCCCATCGGCAGCGACGGTGACGGGAGCAACAGGTGGTGTTGCCGTTGCTGCTGTTGCGTCGCGACAGATGACACAAGTGCCTCCAGGTCAACCAGAGATTCCTGCAGGAGATCAAACCCCTGCTGCTTGACGAACTCCTGAATCAAATCCACTGCCTGATTCAGCAGAAAGGGATTAGAACCGGCTGCTTGTACGTACCGCAGCATAAGTTGCAGGGTCGCATGGATAAGCTCCGGCAGGAGAAGCAACCAATGGTATCTACTTTTAGAGTCATCTTGTGGCTCAAGGCACTTGTAAAGGGCCAGCTTCTCCTCTTCCTCCTGCTGCTGAACCTCTTTTAAAGTCCGCTTCAGCCTGGGGGCAAAGGGCTCTGCCCTGGGTCGCTCTAGGCCCAATTTTGCAAGACGGGCAGCGTTGAGAAGGTCGAGCGCCGCGGTGCGCAGCGCGTCTGGCATGCCGTCGGCTTCTCCGTGCAGCGCGGCGTTCGTCGCGGTCAGCAGTCGCAGCACGGCGTGAAGCAGCATGCGCTGCACGAAGGCCACCGTCTCGCCGGTCCACCCGGCGGCCATGACGCCCGTTTCAGAATTCCTGTCGCCGCCCCCGAGGGCCGACAGGAAGCGCAGGAGGGAGGGCAGCACCGTACACACGGACGCTTGGCCCCGCGTCGCCGACGCCAGCTCCGCCTCGCACAGCTTCCCCAGCAGGGAGAGCAGCACCCGGCACAGCTCAAAGGGCGTCCCGTCGGCAACGTGAGCGTCCCGACCCAGGCCTAGCACGAGGCCGGATGGGTCGTTGGCATTCACGACGTCCAGCTCGCACACCGGAAGCCTCTGAACCTCGGTCTCGATGCTCGGCTGCACGTGCGCCTCCACGTCCGCTAGGCGAGTGGCCTGCTCCTCCATGGCGGCGCCGCCGCACCCGAACCTCTCCAGGGACTCGCCCAGAGGCAACGGGTACGACCCTCCGGGCTTGGGCGGGCTGAAGTCCTCGGACGTGAAGAGGCCGGTTGATGCCAGGGACCGGTTGGGGGCCACTTGCCTCCAGTTGGCGAGCAATGTGGCGGCAGCGGTGGGGCGCTCGCTGGAGCTCAGCTCGGAGTCGGTGGAGGCGTGCGGCGCCTGGGCCTTGTCTCGAGCTTCATGCCCAGGCCCTCCCTTGCGGTGCCTTCGGTGCTTCCGGCCGGCGCTGCCACCGCTGCAGTTGTACCTGCCCGAGAGGGGGAAGGCCGTGCCTTTGCGGCTAGGGCTGGGCTGCGGCTGTGAGGAGGCCTGGCTGCTGCTCGCGGAAAAGAGATTTTCACCGAGGGGTGGAAGATGGTAAGCTGCAAAAACAAAAAACAAAGACATTCAAATCAATAAAAACATTTATCACACACCATATAAAAAAAAAACACATTTATCACGCAAAGCTGAGATGGAAGCATAGGATGGCGCTGAGAAAATTAACTAATTTAAACTAAACAGAGGATACATGTATTTAGTCTCGTCTTAAAATCACTGGTTGTCACAGGTGATTGGACTTCAATTGGCAAACCCTTCCAGACCACCGGGGCAGCAGATGGACAGCTCCATTCTGCTGTCCTTAGCCGAGAGGATTTCACCCACAGCAGCAGCAGCAGCAGGTCCATCGCTCAGATAGGCTGGTTAACCACTTGTCTTTGCTATAAAGAGCAAGCAGTGGCGACCTTGAACTGACTCTTGCTACATTTTAAATATGTTTTGATCTAAAGGGTTGAAGGCCTGTTTGATCATCAATTATATCTGATTTGAAAGTGCAGAAGGGCATTTAATGTTATGAACTAGCGTTTACAATAACGCACAATATAATGATAATGAGCATTCATATTTCAAATGATCTCCATTTGATGATTGCAGTGAGTTTTTACCGTTGTATATTATAGCTCCCAAATATTAAACTGGTCAAAATGTAAGAAAAAATATATTTAAATGTTTTAGAGGTAAAAAATTCAGATATGCATAATACACATTCTGTCCTTGTCAAGAATGTAATCTTACTTAGTATTAAATTACAACTTCAACATGACAATTATGCACTTTGTAAAATACACTGAATGTGAATATTTTAAATAATAAGAAAAAGTTCAGGTCTTTGCTAGTTTAACAACAAACCAGAAAATTGGAAAATAAATCTGTGATGCAAAATAGAACAGGTTCCCAATTTGAAATGACGGACAGGCTGGCCAGTCCTTGTGCTCAATATAACAAGCTTTATTGATGGTTATTGACATTGATGTCTGGAAGAAAAGCCACTTTTCAAGTTTCTGAGTGGAATATGAATGGCTCCCCCATTGATAGCCAAAATAATTCTCTGCCACAGTGAGCAACTCTGCACAATGACAATGAATAGAGGAGTATGGCCATTTAAGGAGCGGCCATGTAGACAGTGCACAGGAGGCCACTCGTGACGTCAGTCTCGTGGACGGCCTGACCAGTGGTGCTAGCAGCTAGTCCACTGGGGCTCCTTGCCCATCAATTGAGAAATGTAACTAAGAATAGAGGTGTGGTGATATGAGAGAAGAGAGATACTGACAGGAGAGAAATAAGAGAGATTAATTTTTTGACATTATCTTTCCTTGGAACTGATTTTAAGCTGGAATATATTTTTTCTCTCATTAATCCAGAGCCCCTAGAGCTTTTTAGGGCCCTAGCCTCTTGCTTGTGCCTTGTTCCACCACTGTGCCCAGTGGAAAGGAGAGACGTTGGCGTGCCTGTAAGCTCTGCTAGCCGTGACGCCGGCATTTAGAGACCACGAAACGATGTTTACACGAGGAAGCACAGCCCGCCTCTACAATATTTATAAAGGAATCGGATGTTTTTTTAAAATCTATGCTTCAATAGAAATGCAATGAACTGTCGAGAATTATTTATAGCTGCCAAGATGAAAAGTTGGGCATAACATTTGGCTCCCATAAGTGGATATCTTGATCAGGATTTCCATCCGTATTTGTATTTCAAAACGTTGATCACAGCGTTATTAATTTAGCCTTATCCACAGGGGTTTCATATGCAGGAGTATGCCTCCATATAGTTTTTTTTTGGTCAGCATCTGTACATTCATGAAAATTAAAAAAATGTGCAATGATACATCTATTTTCATAAAAACGAAATCTCCAATTTGATCTTACCATATTCATCGTAATACATTTTTTGAAACCTAATATAATGACAGCCACGCAGGGTTTCAGGATAATTTCATCATTGCCAAGTTATTATGTAATACTTTTTTCGATTCAAGTGTTTATTTTGTTCCAGTCATTGCTATGTGTTGACAATGAGAGACAGAATGAAGAGCACACGGGAGAACATACGCAGGTCAGTAACATAATCGAAACCGTTGAGACGAGGCAAGACACCACCAAAAGGGATCCTAGCCAATGATCAGGAACAGTGACGGTTAGGAACAATGCTGGGTGGATTGTTATAATCGCACAACTGTGAGAGATGGCAACTACTTGATTATTTTTTATTTACTCATTAGTTATTTTACATTCATATAGTAGTTTATAGAATGCACCAGTAACATGATATTACTACCAAAATTATTATGGAATTGTTTGATCAATTATGGCGTTTATTATTTACCTACTGGTGGTATTTTGAATTATTTGTACTTCATACATTCCCACGCTCTGCGATCATCTTTGTGACATCACATTATCCAATCATCGAGCTTTCAAATGGCACCACAGCTGAAGCCACAGCTGCAACAATGCAACGGACAACAACAATTGTCTTTCCGGTTTGCTTTAAATGTTATATTACTGCTGCGATTGAAGATGCTTTATTTTTGACTCAATAACAAATGCCAACTGCTTATACCGGAACACTGCTCCAAGTGCATTTTTATTTAAAAACAGGCAACGTACTGTACCTAGATGTACTTGAACACATTTTTTTTAAATTAAATATATTAATTTTTAAAATCCGCCTTAAAACCTATTTATACACTTCTGCTTATTAGACCTTTAGTTCATTTAGTAAATGATTCTTATTTGTATGCTGAGTGTCAGCTGCTGCTGTGTCCTGTTCAGCGCTTTGAGATCCTTGATGAAAAACATTATATGAATGTAATTATTATTAAATAGAAAGGAGACACAACCTTTGAAAATAATACACACAATGTGCAGTGTGCACAGATGTACAAAAACATGGGATAATATGGCTGACTGCGCGAAAATTATAAAACTACCCCAAACAAAAGCACACGTGCATGCACACAATACAAGTCCATTATTACAGCTTTTTAAAAGAGAAGAATTACTTGATGGGCCCATTCCACGAGTGAGGTTACAGGTTTCCTTCGCTCTATGCGGGTTCGGTTTGTGCGATGTGACGGGCATATGAAGAGCTAACCTATTTCTACCAAAAATTCGCTGAATGCGGCCTGAATTCGCTCGTGTGTGGCTATGCGTTCGTACGCGGGACAACATTGTGCGTGTACTCTACGCGCTACTCGGCAGGCGAATGTCTCCTCGTGCGGTTTCCGCTGTGCGAGCCCTTTTCTCGGAATGTATCTCCCGCATGAAGCTCAAGGGAAACCTGTATTTAATTTATGCATCAACATTTAACAAAAAGAGGTCAGGTACATTTTGTCCCAAGGGGCCTCCATAAATGACGTCACGCAATTTTGGACGATTTTTGACCCCCCCCCCCTTCGTCACACGGCATCACAAAAAGTCAGAACCTACCTCCAATATGACGTCACAAAGCTCTGCCCCCCCCCCACCCCAAAAAACATGCTTCAAATCGCTTTAAACTATTGTCATTGTAGTGCGTATTTAATGTACCGCTGCACTCTGATGTTGTAGGAGAAAACATTTATTTAAATGTACAGTATATTTAATTAAGTAGAACGTGTTGTCTATATTTGTTTAAAGTTGCGCATTTTGATGTGACGTCACATTTCTCAAACCCCCCCCCCCCTCGTCACACATCGTCACAAATGTCTGACCCCCCCCCCCCCTAGGTGCGTGACGTCATTTATGGACGGCCCCCAACACCAACACTGTCGTGGGTGAGAATGCCACATGGCGGCTATGCCAACACAGAAGACTTGTTTACCAGCCCCCCCCCTGTACTCTGCACATTGTGTACGCATCTCAGTTACTTTGCAATACAAATCGATGAGTCACTCAACGGCTTCGAAAAGGGCACCGTTATTGATGTCATTATAAAATGCCCGCTTTTTGTCAATGCAAGTCATGCCCTCTATATATTTTGTTATTATTTGGAAAAAATGTAATGCGTACAAAGAGTAGTAAAAAAAAAACATTTAATTTTCGCCACCCTATAATCCAAAGCACAAACCTGCATGCCATAATACCGAGTGACGCAATAGCACACGCACTACGTAAATGCTTTGCGCACGTAGCCGCTAAAACCCCTGCACTGCCCACGAGTCGACAAAGCACGAGCAAATATTGCGTTTGGTTTCATCTTAATGGTGATTAAATGTTCTTAAAATTGTAATTTAAATGGTGGCTCACACACTATGCTAGAAGCCCCAGTAAACAACAATCGATTCCCATCCACGGCTTACGTTAGATTGGCGAAGGATGTCGTGATCAGGCCTGGGTTGCCTTGCTGCACAAACCCACACTAGCCAGAATGGTGAAGTATGCTCAGAAACCGGCACAGCATGGGGAGGTCTTCATCCAGCAGTGGGGATTGAAAGAGGGCTCTCAAATTATTTCGAAATTTTAAAAACAAAGTTCTCAAATAGTGGCTCTAAACTGACCTTTGATAAAGGACCTGATTAAATGTACTCTTTGGTTTTTTCTGTAAAGTCACATAGGTAAAAAATTTAAATAAATTAAATTAAAATTACTGAGGCATCAGACTCAGTAATTTTGCTGGAGCAGTCAACACCCGATGACGGTTGCTTGTGTTGCTTCCAAAACGTCGTGATATAATTTAATTTAATTTTTTACCTACGTGACTTTACCGAAAAAACCAAAGAGTATGAATCCTTGCAGTCACGAAAACTTCAAATCTAGAACTGATTAAATGTGTTGATTGATTGAGATCAAAGAATGGTGGGAGATGGTGCTGCACCACTGGGATTGCAATGAATGATTTGACTCCCATTTGTTCCACTGGATTGTGGGCTGCATTTGTTTACTGCACTGCAAGAAAGAATGTTGAAACAAACTTGCATGGCCACTCGAGAAGTCACACGTTAGCGTAAGCTATCGGCGAAAATACAACTGCCACAAAACATTTTACAGTGGCTTGCTAAAAGAATCTTTCCCCACACTCCAAAATATTTATTGCAATGTATGTTGTTGTATACGGCGTACAC